GTCCACTCTGTGTCCCGTGTCATGTGGACACTATTCTGGGACTAGAGGCCAACTCCCTTCCAACGTGCCCCTGAGTTTACTTGGCTCTGACGGCAGCAACAAGCTCACTCCCAAATAAAGACCAATGTTCCTATCCTAAGGGCTGTGGCAAAGGGCAGAGTTTCAAGGGGGCCTGAGTTAGCCCCACATGTACCTCATTAGGGTGGGGAGGGAGACGCGATTCCCCTTTCAGCCCAGGAAAGGGCATTTTTACAAGCATTACCAGAGATTCCTTTTTTCTGTTGTATTTTTGTTTGGTTTTGAACCATACCGAGCTGTGCTCAGGGATCACTCCTAGATCCACACTCAGGGCTCACCTGACAGTGCTCAGGGGGCCCTATGGGGTGCCAGGGTTTGAACCCCGCTCAGCCATAGGCAAGGCCAGCACCAGGCCTACTGTACTCACTCTCCGGCCCCCCGTCAGGGTCTTTTACCCCCTGAACCTGTGAACTGTTGTCCAGATAGTTCTCAGGACTGGCAGGTTGGCAAGGAGGGCACCCAGCCCACTCCAGGTTAGAAGTCCTCATGAAGAAGGACAACTCGCCCTTGTTTCAAACATCACTCTCAGAAGGAGAAGCGGTGCCATTCACACGTTCTGCTCACAGCACTTCAGGACAGAAGAGTACCAACTATTCATCGATAGCAAATCAAATCACAATGTAGAATTCAGGCATTGAAACTAGGCTAGTCTTTCTAGGCCCTTTCAGACGGCCTCCAGCATCTCTTAGTGCCTGGTGTAAAAATATTAATACATCAGCCCTGAATAAATTAGTGAGTTCTGTCTCTCTCCGAGGTCTCACCTACTCTGCGTTGACTTTAGCATGACTCTTTCAGACATAGCATGTGGCCCCCACCAGAACTTTTCCTGGGAGCTTCAGATGTGGGAAGTGGACGATGTAGTTATTTGAGTTGCTGCGAGTTTCTTACCAGAAATATAATGGGTATGTGAGAAAAACATGCACAGTGTTCTTGAAAAGTGTTTGTAATAGTGAAGATTTATTGAAAATACTGTCCTTATCAAAATAATTTCTAACAGGAGATATGTTTTAAGAGACATTGGGGAGAAGAATCTTTTTTTTTTTTTAACCAAAGCTTTGTCTACTTTAACTAGTTGTCTTTCTCTGATGCCAATAGTCTAATTTGATAGGATGTTTTGGGGAGGGTTGGAGGGTGGGTTGGGGCTATACCTGGCGATGCTCAGGGATCACGCCTGGCAGGGTTTGGGGCATTGTAAGCAGTTAGGGGATGAGACCTAGGTGGTCCGTGAGCAAGGTCAGTACCTCCCCTCACAAGTTCCTATTGTGGTGCTTGCCTCTGTGATATCTCCTGGCTAGAAAGATCTTTCTAAGGCGACTCTCTGCACACCTTCAAACTTGCCAGTAGAGCTAATCACAGATCAATGACTTATTGCTCTTTGGAACCCTGTAAATTAGTACCTTCCTCAGTGGTCCTCTACTCTGTGCTTGGGCATTTCACTAAGCTTAATTGCCTAAGAAATCGTGTAAAATTGATTCCAAAGATGTTTCAGGGGCTGAACTCCCTGGTTTCTCCATGAGTCGCTTGCAGTTATATCTGAGCTCTGTACCGTGTGTGTGTGTGTGTGTGTGTGTGTTTGTGTGTGTGTTCCCTCCCTCCACCCTCTTCTTGTTGTTACTGCAGTGACCAGGGCTCAGGGCTCACACGCTTGCCAGGTGGTGCTCACACATCTCAGCAGTGGTGCTCCCTGAGGCTCGCTGATGATTGCTCTCCTTTCATCATGGCACATTCTAGGGGTCGTGGTCTCGGTTCAGGCACACAAGGTCTGGTTGTGGTGCTTGCCAGAGAGTGCCTCGGTGTCCCTGTGTGCTCACAAGTCTTTTCAGTGCTCAGACAGACACACACACACCTGGCAGCAGTGTGGCTGGACAGTACCTGCAGCACTGGAAACTGCAGAGGGACAGCAGAGCTGCCGGGCTCCTGTGAGGTGCATGTGGGACACCAGGGGTTCGAACTTGTAACTAATCACTTACAAGCCTGTACGGCCTCCACATACTCTGCTTCCTAGATTCTTTTTAAAATGATTAGTTCTTGGGACTGGAGTGATAGTACAGCAGGTAGGGCGTTTGCCTTGCATGTGGCCGACCTGGGTTTAATCCTCAGCATCCCATATGGTCCCCCAAGCACCGCCAGGAGTAATTCCTGAGTGCAAAGCCACGTGTAACCCCTGAACATTGCTGGGTGTGATTCAAAAAGAAAAAAAATAAATAATGTTTCTCTGAATTTCTAAAAAATAAAAATAAAAAAGACTAGCTCTTTGGGGGGCCATAGAGACCATACAGTGTGGGTAAGGCACTTGCCTTGCATGTGGCTTACCCAGGCTCTGTCCCCGTTACCTCATATGGTCCCCCAAGCCCATCCAGGAGTGATCCCTGGGTACAGAGCCAGGAGGAAGCCCCAAACATGGTCAGGTGGGCCCAGAAACCACACAGCAAACAAATAGTTATTTTGAGGTAAGTTTTGGCTGAAAAGTTGCAAGGATGATCCAGTGAGCTCCTTTATTCAGTTTCTTCTTATTTCCTTGTTTTAGCACCTGACACTGTCATGCTTTTGTTAAAAAAAAAAAATTTGAATTATTTTTCAGATTTACTTTTTGTTTTCCCAACTTTTAGGGTCCCAAGGCAAAAAAGGTAAGTAGGCATTATTTTCTCAAAATAATTTTTATAAGCACTGATAATGTAGACAGAAATTCTAAACAGTTTTTGAGATCGTAACAATTTATGGAGTTCACTCAGCTTACTTTTCAGACATGAATACTCTTTAAATCATGGGGCTAATCCTTTATTATAACAGGACAGATTTTAAATTTGACGGGATATTTTCAGTTTCATGCGTGCACACACGCAGCCTTTAAATATACCCTTTACTTTTCACTTGTGTCTAGACTTGAAGCCTTTAAATTACTGGTTCTCTGGAAAGTGTTGGATTAGAAGACTTTCATCTACTTTTGTATGTTATACACAAAAGTTTAAGATAATATGATAAAATAATACCATAAGATAATATGCCCTTAAGTGGTTAGTGTGGTAAGATAATTCATTCTTTATGTTTTTTTGGTACCAATTTTTAGACATTCAAGTTCCATAATGGATGTCTAGAGAGCCTTTTCTCTCTCCTCATGTTGTAGGTTTATAGTGTAAAACAGATCGTCCTCTTGGTGATTAACCAGATCTTTCTCACGGACATACTTTGTCAGATCCTGAACGTTTTTTCAGACTGAACACTTCCAAACATGTTCATATCAGAACTCGATTCCCTTCTTGCCTGGATAATCATGGGTCCTTGACCCCCTGGGGATGTCATGTCCAGGGCATCTGTGGGCCATTCTCAGTAGCAACTGCCATGGGCAACCCACACTGTCCTCAGTTTACCTCTCCCAGCCCTGATGGGCCCCACTCCATCTCTGCCTTCCCTGAGGGCTGCAGGGGCAGAAGGCGGCCAGAGGTGTCCATCCCCGCCATGCTCACAGCTTCCTTCCTCACTAGTGGAATCGCCTAGCCTGGCCTGTCATAACCTGAGAACATCTTGTATGAACTTACTTCTCACATGGGCCCTGTGAGGTCAGGAGCTTGTAATCTTTACACACAGAGAACCTAAAATTGCTCAGGTGCTCGCTCCGGGGGACCCAGGGTGCGGCTGGTCAGCCCAGAGGTCTGAGGAGCCTGAGGTGTCCGGTATGGCCGGAAGGGCTGACCGGGAGGTGCAGAGGACCAGGAAGAGAGGAGTGGCAGGCCCAGAGGAGGGCGGACCTGGCCAGGGCCAGCGGGGATGTCCCTGTCACCTGCGCGGTGTGCCCGGGAGATGTGTCAGGGTCCTGAGTGTCTGGGATAGAGCTGTGAGGACCTCACAGTAGTTGTGGGGAGCTGACCGTGTGGGTAGCTGCTCTGACAGCCATAGGCTGTCTCGCCCAGCCTTGCAGAGGATACCAGGGCAGTGGGGACACCCGGGGGCAGTGGTGGGTGAGCTGGGCTGGGGGGCAGTGGGAGATGCCCACACGGGTTGAAGGTTCTGTGGAGCTTCCTGCAGCATCAGGAGCTGGCCCAGCCCTGTGATGCCTTGTCCAGGCGCTGTGTCCTCGGCGGGCCAGAGAGAGAAGGTGCTGGTGGTTCCCACACACCGAGATTCACTTGGTGCATCTGTAGCAGCGTGGACCCAACAGCTGTGGCCGCATCGCCAGCCTTCTGTGGGCTCCTGCGTGCCCTGTTCAGTGCCCGCTGTCTATGTGTCTGTCTGTCCCTCTTGTACGGGATGCCGTGGGTTTCCTCATCCCCCTCTTTCTTACATGGGCGTCGTCTGAAGGAGCCCTGTCAGTTCCCCCTCCATCCTGCCAGTGCACAGGAGAGGCCAAGGAGGGGGTGCCTTCCTGGGCATTCCACCCTGCAGGTCTTGTTCAGTGTCCAGGAGGTGCCCCTGAACTTGGCCCACCAGCGTCCCCCCTGAGCCCCTGCCTGGTGCTAGCACTTCCCGCTCTAGGGAGGGCCTGCCTGTGGCTGAAATCTTGAGCATATGCTGTTGTGTCACCAAGTCTGTAACCCTGTGAACATCTGCTGGGAGGGGCGCCCCCTGCCGTGGCTGACAGAATCCTGCCCCTCCCATCCGCTCATTGTAACACCTTGAATTTCTAGAGCAAGGTTGCAGTTTGGGCAGATAGTTTCTTTTCGCCTGGACAGCTGAGAAAAAAGTTTGGCTTAGCATCCCTTTGAAGACGTAGCGTTGCTGATGGGAACGTCCTGAGCTGGACTTGCGTGTGTCTTTTTCCCCCCCAACTCGCCTCTGTGCCCACCACCAGCCGGCATGCGCAGGGGGCCCGGGCTCTGCCCACAGTAGGGGGCTTGATGGAATGCGTGGAGGAGGTTTCCCGGAAGCAAGCAGGGTCGGTCCTGATGACCGTTTGAGGGAGCTGAGTCGGTGAGCTCCTCCGGAGCATGTGCTCACTGCTCTTTGTACCTTACGAGGCCCCCAAGAAGGCTGATGGGAAGAAGAAGATCTCCAAAGCGCAGCGGCTGAAGATGCTGCAGGAGGAGGAGGAGAGACGGCTGAAAGAAGAAGGTAGAGAGCAGAGCGGGAGTGTGTGTGTGTGTGTGTGTGTGTGTGTGTGTGTGTGTGTGTGTGTGTTGGGAGGTAACAGGACAAGGTGGGAGTGAGGGGAGTTATAGGACAAGGCCAGCAGTGGCCCATTTCCTGCACAGATGAGCCCAGGAGAGGGCTTCCAGTAATCAGAGAAGGATCCAAGAAGAGGAGGGAGATACCAATCCGTGAGCCTGTGTCCAAGACTCATTTCCTTTTTCGAAAACCTCTGACACTTTTCCCGATTCCGCCTCCCGGAATAAAGGCTGTGGCATGTATGTCGGAAAGCTCCCACCTGCCCCTCGCCTCACTTTGGAATTCTCAGAAGCAGTTCTGAGGGCTTAAGAGTCGAGCGGTTCAGTCCCAGAGAAATGGTTTTCTGTTCTTTAGAGGAGGAACGTTTGAGGAAAGAAAGAGAAGAGGTGGAAAGGCTCGAGAAGAAACGCCTTGAGCAAGAGAAATGGGAAAAACTTGAAGACAAAGTAAGTAAACTTCCAAGATGTGCTGACGGGAGGCGCGTTCCGTGGACGTCCCCTCTGTGAGGCCCTTCACTGTCCCTCAGCCTTGGCCGGAGCCAGTGGGCTCCATGCAGTCCGTCCTGGCCGTGGCAGTATAACCCTGACGGTTGGCACTTGTGGCTCTGACGAGGAAACTGAGGCACAGAGAAGCAACTCTGTGTGGACATCGAGGTGCAGACCAACTCTCAGCCACTCTCACCCCAACCAGTTTTGCAGAGAATTTAACAGGATCCCCGAAATTCAGATTCTTCCCTTCTTTTTGAACTCTTTTTTTCCTCCAGGATGTTCTAGAACCCTAGTTCTGACACCTTTTGACACTGTTTGCAAGGCACCAATACAATGTTGGCAATTGAAGTGCAGGGTTCTCCCCAGGCGCTCTGCTTATATGGGCTGCAGCCAGTGCCAACCCCAGTGGCAGTGGAAACCAGTGCAAACGCTCAGTACATGTGTAGACTTCATTATTGTCAAAAGGAAATGCAGTTGCTCATTTTAAAGGGGAAAAAAAAAGACAAGTTTCTGTGTGTGTTTCGTTGGGGGGGGGGGGGAATGAGTAGAATTGTCTGATTTTAAACGTCTCTGTGATGCCTGACCTAACTGAAGGAACTGGAGTCGTAGCCCGCCAGGGCCATGTGTTGTTCTCGCTGAATATTTGGAGAAAAGCAGATTCGTAGTGGGAAGACTGTCTTCAGATAATTGTGTCTTTTCGTTTGGGGGTCGTAAGGGACCACACTAGGGCTCCCGCTTAATACACCAGCCCTCTGGGCTATCTCCTCTGGGCTCTGCTCTCAGTGAACTGTGGATATTGTGGGTCATCTTCTTGGAGAGACACACCCCACAGTGCTCTGGGGTTAGTCCTAGCTGTGTGCTCAAGAGTGGCCATTGGTGGGGTGTGGGGGGGGGGATAAAGACAGAGCTAGGGACTGAGCCGGGGTTAGCAGGATGCTGGGCAGGTGCCCAGCTGCTGCACTGTCTCTCCGGCCCAGCCTCCTTTCATGCCTACCCCAAACTGTGGAATCTGAAAGCAACCGGAAGTTCCCACACCATGGCCCAGAAAGCTTGGTCTGCTCCATGCAGTGAACTGGCCTTGCACCCATGCATGGTTTTGCAGTGTCCGGCTGCGGTGGTGGTTTAGGAATGTGTGCTCCTCAAATTATCCTCCAGGGGCCGGAGTGATAGTACAGCGGGTAGGCATTTGCCTTGCACGTGGCCAACCTGGGTTCAATCCCCGGCATCCCATAGGGTCCCCCAAGCACCACCAGGAGTAATTCCTGAGTGCAGAGCCAGGAGTAACCCCTGTGCAACACTGAGTGTGACCCAGAGCAAAAAAAAAAAAATTATCCCCTAAAACCCCTGCCCCACCACCACCAAGGTTGAGGCTATGTTATTACAGTTAAAATTAAAAAAGTCACCTCTACTGGTATCTCCAGTCAATTCCTAGAAGAGTTTAAGGGCTGGGGGGACTGTCTGGTTCACAGGTGGATGCCAGTTTTCTAAACTTTGAATTTTGATTAGAAAGCTTGAATTTTATTGCTGGAAGCAGATGGCTTGCATTGTCCCCTGGAAAGGATATAGCCAGTTCACTTCTTTGTGAGAGCACGTCAGCTGGAATAGTCAAATGTTTGCTCCAGTGTTTATTTCCCTGCCCTTGACATTGAGACAAAAGGCCTTCGCACACTCCCCATTTCCTACACAGACCATGAAAGACCTGTTCTCTGGTCTCTATTTAGTACTAGCTCTGCGGGGGGTGGGGAGTTTAGCGGGTTTCGGGGTGATGGAGGCCAACAGGGAAAGTCAGTCTTAAGGAAGTCCATCACACCTGATTCCATAAGTGTCGGAGCATCCCCCCCTCCCCCCACTGGCCAAACCACCATTTCAAAGGAAACTTGGGGGCATTGTTACTCTCAAAATAAGTTCATTGTCAGTTTCAAAACAAGATATTCTGTCATCTAAGTTTTATTTATTTATTTTTGTATTTTTGTGTCATACCCGGCAATGCGCAGGGGTTCCTCCTGGCTGTGCACTCAGGAATTACTCCTGGCGGTGCTCAGGGAACCACATGGGATGCTGGGAATCGAACTCGGGTTGGCTGCGTGCAAGGCAAATGCCCTCCCTGCTATACTATCTACCCCCATGTTGGGTAAATTTTAGATGCTACTTAGGGGAACGGTCCCATGTTCAGGGACAGATGCAATGCCTTTTGTCTCACACCTTAGGACCTTGACAGGAAAAACGAGGAGGCCGCAGAACTTTCCTTGCTGGAGATGTGCTTTACCGAGGCAGAGCAAATGAAACGAGAAGTTCAACTGCTTTCTCAGGTGAGACGAATTAATTAGATCTCATGGTTTTGGTGTGTTTGGGGCCTTGTCCAGGGGCGTTCAGGGCTTATTTCTTGTTGTGTGCTCAAGGTTCATTCCTGAAAGAACACATCCGTGGAGCTGAGGGTCGAATCCAGTTTGGCTGCCTTAACTGCTGTGCTGTTTCTCCAGGCCCCAGACTAATTGCATTTTTATTTACTTTTAGTGAATACCTTTGTACCACAAGCAGAAGTTGGAGTTTAATATTCTCAATTCCAGGAAACTTTAAATTTGCTCATTCGAAATCTCTTAACAAATCTTTCCCTCCTGTGGCCAATATCAAAGTGAATTGAGGTAGCTTTGGAAAGTCATTTGTGCGTAATAAGATCTTTGAAACATTTCTGTCCTTTGACATGATTTGGGGACATTGATGCTGAAGAAATTATCTTGAAACAGAAAAGCTCTGAGCTTGTGGAAACCCAGTATTGCTCAAAATACCCTAACTTTGGAAACAGAATAGGTGGTTATAAGAGAAAATAAGGAATACTGATATTAGAGTAAAATATGATTAGTCAACAATTTTAAGCAAAAAAAAAAACGGTGATATAATTACTAGGGGAGTGTTTGCACAGATGACAGAAGTAATTCATACTAAAATGATCCTTAACAGCTATTAACCACTTGAATAGTAGAAATGACCCCAAGTGCCAACCCTTGTCAGTAAATACAGAAACCATGTAATTAAGAAGGAGGGGCTGGAGTGATGGCACAGTGGGCAGGGCGTTTGCCTTGCACGTGACCGAACCAGATTCAATTCCCAACATCCCATATGGTCCCCTGAGCACCGCCAGGAGTGATTCCTGAGTGCATAAGGCAGGCGTAACCTCTGTGCATCGCCGGGTGTGACCCAAAAAGCAAAAAAAAGAAAAAAGAAGAAGAGCAAGGGCCAGAGAGATAGAGCAGATGATATTAGGGCGCTGGCCTTGCATGAGGCTGACCCACGTTCCATCCCTGGCACCTCAGATGGTTCTCTAAGCACTACCAGGAATGATCACTGAGTGCAGAGCCAGGAATAAGCCCTGAGCTCCTCTGGTATGACCCAAAGTTCTCTGCCCCAGAATTTTTTTAAAAGGGAAAATGGGGTTCAGGAAGATAGTGCAAGGGGTAAGGCACTTGCCTTGCATGTGCCCCATCTAGATTAGATTCTGCATGCTATATGGACCCCCAAGCACTGCCAGGAGTAACCCCTGAGCACCACTGGGTGTTCCCCCCTCAAAGGAAAGCAAAACCAGACCAATTCGATAGCAATTTTAAAAATAAGTATTTGGCAATAAGTAGAAATTTTTATCTGAATTAGTAAAGCTTAAATTTTATCCGAATTAGTAAAGCTTGATAATAAGGAATTTCGTTGTTTTACAAAGAGGATCAAGTAGCTAAAGTCATCATTTTTTTCTTTGTTTTTATTAAGACACTGTGATTTACAAAGCTGTTCATAATAGAGTTGTTTCAGGCATATAATGTTTCAACACCAACCCAAGCACCAGTGACTCCTCCCTCCACCAAGGTACCCAGAGTCCCTCCCATCCCCAGCCCACCCACTTGGCAGGCATGTAACAAATTTACTTCTTATTACTTGCTCCAATAAAACTTCAAGAAATGGCAGGTGGAATATCAGACATAAATCAATAAAAATCAACTTGTGGTGATTGATGTGTGTTTGGCTAAATCCATCAAGTTGTGTAAACCTGAAGCACAAAGGGCCAATTCCTTTTTCATCTCTTTAGAAAGAGTTTTTCCCACTATGAAAAATGACGGGCTGGAGCAATGGCACAGCGGTAGGGTGTCTGCCTTGCACACAGCCAACCCGGGGTTGATCCGGGTTCGATTCCTCCGCCCCTCTTGGAGAGCCCGGCAAACTCCCCGTGACGTATTCGATATGCCAAACACAGTAACAAGAAGTCTCACAATGGAGACGTTACTGGGCCCGTTCGAGCAACTCGACGAACAACGGGAGGACAGTGCAGATTGTTAAGTGATGTTGGCCAATGTAAGATGTTAATTTGTTATTAAAAAGGTATAAAATCCCTTAGCAAGCTAATAGTGAGCAGGCCTTTCTTAATCTAGTAGAGGATAGCCATATGCCTACTCAGTGCCACGTTTTGGGAAGTTTGTCCTCCCCTTTAGAGAAGGTCTTTTAGTGCTCCTTGCAAAACTGATTTCAAGACTCTGAATTCCCTAATCTGTAGCCTGTCCATGAAGTGCTGTATTGGTCCTTCAAATCAGACAGATAATACAGCTGAAGAGAGTATTTGTGTGTGTGTGTGTGGGGGGGGGGGGGGTGTTAGGTCACACTTGGCAGTATTCAGGGCTTACTCCTGACTCCGCACTCAGGGATTACTCCTGGCATGTTCAGAGGAGCATCTGGGGGTTCCAGGGACTAAATCTGGGTATGCCACATGCAAGGCAAACACCCACCCACTGTACCATCGCTCTAGCCCCTGCATAGAGTATCCTCAAAGTGTTCGTTTCATCAAGTTTTTATAACTTATCTCTCTGTACTCCTTGGGATCACAGAGCTTAATCTAATGGACATCGTCCATGCGGGCTTTCCTTTGCAATGAAGTTCCTTTTTTGACCTCGCTGCTTTCAGGATTCTGTCTCTCTCTTTGGATTTTGTCATTCTGAGGACAGAGTGTCTCAGAGTTTTCCTAATTGGGTCTGTCTTCTACTAGGATCCTTTCGACCTCTTGCATCTCGGTGCCTGGGATCCTTAACTCTGGGAAGTTCTTTTTGAGATTTCTTTAACTAATCACATCACATCTGCCTTCCTGTTTTTCAGAGACTCCAGTGATTCTTATATTGTTCCTCTTGAGCTGGTAGTTCTCTGGCATGCTGTTCATTTCTTTCCAGAGTCTTTTCCACCTTTTATCTTGAAGCTCCTTGATCTTTTGCTTAGCTGCTGTTATTCTGCTGTTCGGAGCTTCTGTTGATATGTGTGTGTGTGTGTGTGTGTGTGTGTGTGTGTGCTCTTTCTCGATTCCGTGGGTGGTGGTGCATGGCCGTTCTTAGTTGGTGGAGCGATTTGTCTGGTTAATTCCGATAACGAACGAGACTCTGGCATGCTAACTAGTTACGTGACCCCCGAGAGGTCGGTGTCCCCCAACTTCTTAGAGGGACAAGTGGCGTTCAGCCACCCGAGATTGAGCAATAACAGGTCTGTGATGCCCTTAGATGTCCCGGGCTGCACGCGCGCTACACTGACTGGCTCAGCGTGTGCCTACCCTACGCCGGCAGGCGCGGGTAACCCGTTGAACCCCATTCGTGATGGGGATCGGGGATTGCAATTATTCCCCATGAACGAGGAATTCCCAGTAAGTGCGGGTCATATATATATATATATATATATATATATATATATATATATATCCTACCACGTTCTTAATTTCTGGCATTTCTGACTGTAGTCGATTTTTTTCATGTCATTTCTTACACTTTGCTGTGCTTTGCTGGCTACTCGTGCTCTTGTTTCTTTGAACTCATTGAATATCCTCATCACAGCGTTGCTAAAGACAGTCTGAGGATTTCCTGATGTTGTTTAGGCCTCGGTGATATTCTTTGCACTCATTGAACTTGGTGGGCTTCTACATGTTTCCCCCATGGGTTTTCTAGTCTTCTTGCTGTGCTGGGGCTGACTTTTTGTAGCGTGACCCCCTTGGAAGATGCTGAGGGGGAAAACCCGGGCTACTCTCTGTCCTCCCCAAATGACGGGAAGAATAATTGTGGGCAGCGTGTAATTTGCTGAGTCAGTCTGTCGCACAGCCGTTGTGAGACGCCAAGGCCCAAACTCTTGGCCTCATGCTTGCAAGGACGGTGCTCCAGCCCCGAGCTCCCCCTGGGACCTGGAGAATCACAGCTGGTTTCTCGGGTGTTTTGTTTTGCCTACCTTGAAGACTGGGCTGGGAGAATCCAGGCCTGTCAAAGGGGCCTTTCACGGTGGGCCCCTCTGTCTCCTTCTCCCCCCCCCCAGTGGAAACACTATCTTCAGTGTGACGGGCACCCCGACCCCACAGTTGCCCAGGAAATCAACACGTACATCAGCTTGTGGAGAGAGGAGACCAACGAGACCTTTGAGCAGGTGATCCAGAAGAGTGACCAAGTGCTGAGTGTGAGTACTTCCGCTTCCCGCCACAGCTGCTCTCCTTCCGACGCCAGAGAGGCCAACCAGGACCACGTTCGCAGTTAAAAACACAGCTTCAGGGCTGGAGCGATAGCACAGCGGGGAGGGCATTTGCCTTGCATGAGGCCGACCCGGGTTCGATTCCCAGAATATGGTCCCCCAAGCACCGCCAGGAGTGATTCCTGAGTGCAGAGCCAGGAGTAACCCCTGTGCATCACCGGGTGTGACCCAGAAAGCAAAAATAATTAAAAAAAAAAAACCTACAGCTGCTGCTTGAGCTATGGAGAAAAATGTTTGCCCATTTTTTGAAAAAACATAGATAAAGTGAGTATAACATAAATGTTCACTCATTATGTGTGCCTCCAGTTATGATCAGAAGATCATTGAATTTCTTCTTCATGTAAGGGCTTGGGGCTGGGGGGTGGGGGGTGGGGATGGAAAGAGAGTGCTTTTATCTGTAGTTGGAATCAGGCACGATTCAGGGGTTCAGCACACACATGTTTTAAGGTACATTACGGCGTGAAGTGATAGCACAGTGGGTAGGGCGTTTGCCTTGCATGTGGCCGACTTGTGTTCGATTCCTCCATCCCTCTCTGAAAGCCCGGCAAGCTACCGAGAGTATCCCGCCCACATGGCAGAGCCTGGCAAGCTCCCCGAGACATATTCGATATGCCAAACACAGTAACAACAAGTCTCACCATGGAGACGTTACTGGTGCCCGCTCGAGCAAATCAATGAACAACGGGAGGACAGTGCTACGGAGCTATGTGCCCTGGGCCACAGAAAGTGCAAAGATGAAGGCGAATATTCTTTCCTTCATTTGTTGAGCAGGAGAGAGCTGCTAGCCCGAGGAGCTGCCCTTCCTCAATACACTTAGAAATGCTGGTAAAAAACGATCACACAAGGGCAGTTACATCCATTGGCTCAAAAGCCGGAGGCGGGGGGGTGTCCTGGGGTAGGGAATCAGAAAGAGTGAAAGTGCTCAGGCCTTGAGGTCTGCAGCTCCCACCGGCCCTGAGCCCGGCTGGTCAGCACGGTGTCTGCAGGACACGGGCCCCTGGACCAGAGACTTGTGATGGCTGGGGGTCCCCGAATGGGCTCTGCAGAGAGAGTGTAGGACTCGCTCACATCCTTGTTGCTTAGTGAAGGGCAGGCAGATGGCCTCCGCTGTGCATCTCTCACCACAGACAGGCCAGAGGTCGGGTGGGAAAACTGACCTGAGCACAGAGCAGAGAGGAGGAGGAGGAGGAGGAGGAGGGGAGGGGGAGGGGGAGGGGAGAGGGGGAGGAGGGAGGGGGGAGGAGGGAAGGTGCCACAGAGCACCAGGGGCAAAAAATACACGAGCAGGAGGCCCAGGGGAGAGAGGGGGCTGGCGGAGAGATGCCGTGCTAAGGGTGTGGGTCCTTGGGTCTGGGACACCCACACATCCCACTGGGACCCAGAGCACATCTTGGCCACGGGCCGACACCCTGCCCTGCTCTCGGAGTCTGCTGTTAGATGGGGGAGTGTAGTCAGAAGGAGGAGGCTGCAGTCGTGTGTGGGCCCTTGGGGGATTGTAGTCAGAAGGAGGAGGCTCTAGTCGTGTGGGGGCCCAGTCAAACGGGGGCTATAGCCAGGTGAAGGAGGCTGCAGTTTGGAGGTGGTGGGCTTGTGTGCGGTCAGCTGGGCCCTGCCTCGGCTTGGGACAGTGCTTCCCTGTGCCCAACCCCTGCCTGTCCGGGAGCTCCTGGTTTCCTGTCTGCACCTGCACAGCTCTGATGGGGTGACTGGGGGCGTCTAAGCTCCATAGGGCGCCACCAGTCGTGCCTCAGTTTCCCCTTCTGTGCGCTGGAAACAGTGCTGCATCTCCTCTTCCTCCTCATGTCTCTCCCTGTCTGGTTTTCTCACTGAGCCCGGCTCACCGCCTCGGGTAAGACCAGCCGAGCTTCTTCAGAGGCTCCAGTGCTCATCACTGAGAGTTCTGAGGCTTGGGAGAAAACTTGATTTTTAAATTTTAGAATAAATGCAAAGATGGCTTTTAACATGCTTTGCTAGGGCAAGGTGTGCTCCCTAGTTTAAGAATGATGGACTGTCCCCCTTTTCATAGTTTCTGCTGACAATTTGTTCCGAGGACTGAGGTGAATATTCTTTCGCGTTCCAGCTAATCGATAAATTGACACTAATCTTACTCGAGACGCCACCATTTGATTTGCAAAACAAAAGTATAATGCAGTACAAAGGATCGATTCTTGAGCTGCAAGACCTCCTTTTCCTGAAGTTTAATCGAGCCACGGAAATACTTCTCAGAGTAAGTGTGAGATTCCGCGTTTGTTCTTAACTTTCGCAGGAGTTAAAAAGCTATTCTATAGGGGCTGGAGCAATAGCACAGAGGGTAGGGCATTTGCCTTGCACGCGGCAGACCCGGGTTCGATTCCCAGCATCCCATATGGTCCCCTGAGCACTGCCAGGGGTAATTCCTGAGTGCAGAGCCAGGAGGTAACCCCTGTCCATTGCCGGGTGTGACCCAAAAAGAAAAAAAATAAAAATAAACAACAACAACAACAAGTAATCCCGTACCAAAGTCGCCTGCTTTATGGGGGGGTGGTCCTGAACCCCTGTATTTGGGCCACAATGAAAATAAATACCCAAAGCACCCTGGGTTGGAGAGTCACACTAGATAAAGTAACAGACACAATAATGATTATATTCAAATGACTTCAAAGACATTATTACACCCAAGGAAACAATAGTTTCATAATATATTCCACCCCATCTATACTCAACTTTTCCCTAATATTATATCCTTTTTTGTCTAGCTTTGGGCTATACCTGGCTGTGCTCAGGGCCGAACCCTGGCTCTGTGCTCAGGGCTGACCCCTGGCTCTGTGCTCAGGGCTCATTCCTGGCTCTGTGCTCAGGGCTCATTCCTGGTCCAGCTCAGGGGCCCAAGATAAGCCAGGATCAACTGTGTGCAAGGCATGGACCTTACCCACTGTACTCTCTCTCTGGCACCACCATAACAGTTTAATTTATAGGGTTTTTTTTTCTGGCTTTTAATTGGAAAATAAAGCTTGGGACCTCTCATACCTTTTGATTTTTTTGCCTCTTGTTTTTGTTGTTGTTTGTTTGTGTTTGCTGATTTGGTTCAAGAAAATTCTGGGGGAGAAAATACAATAAAAGCTTGAGTGAAGGTTTGAATGTCACTAAGTTTGTCGTTAGTGGTAATTTCCACACAATAATCCTTCGGGTTCTTAGATTTTTGTAAGAATAGGCAAGTCAGGAAATGTATTATAACTATTTTTTTATAATTTATTTCTTTATTGAATCACTGTGGGAAAAGTTACAGAGCTTTCGGGTTTAGGTCTCAGTCATGTAAGTATCAAACACATTTCCCTTTACCAACACTTATTTTTAACCGCGAACCCCAATAAGACCCCCACCTCCCACCCCTCCCAATTCCTGTGAGGCAGATGAGTTCTAGTTAATACTCTATCTACTTTGACTAGATAGATTGTTTCGATAGAAGATGTACAATTATTGTTTAGAGTTTACGACCCACCCCCCACAATCAGATATGCTGAAACAGCATTGTGAAATGATTTGCTTTCTACAGCTGGGTTTAAGAATAAAATGATGTTTTGGATTTCTGCTATTTTACTTATTAACGCTGGAAGTATTTCTATTAAGAGTTAGATAGTTAAGAGATTGGTTTCTGTGCTCTGGAGTCGTGGCCGTGCCGGAGAGCCGCTCGTGGGGGGCAGCTGGTGACCTCGGTCGGGCGTGAAGGACGGCCCAGAACGCCCCCCTTCCCATGAGGCTCCTGCCGCCCCCAACCCCGGCTCAAACCTGCTGTCCACAAGGCTCCCGTGCGGCCATCATCTTTCTTTCCAGAGACTGTATTATAACTATTAACAAAGACTTCTGGGGGGAAATAATGCTACATTTTACATAAAGAAGGAAGATTGGGAATGCAGTGATGTTGACTGGCAGTGGAACTGGAAGCAGACTTAAAAAAAATTTTTTTTAATTTTTATTGAATCACCGTGAGATACAGTTACAAACTTTCATGGTTACATTTCAGCCATACAATGATTGAGCACCCATCCCTCCACCAGTGTGCATTTTGCATCTCCTGGGTATATATTCAGAAGTGGTATTGAGCACCCATCCCTCCACCACCAATGTACCATGTCCCTCCCACCACCCCCACCCCATCCCAGCCCCTGCCTCTGTGGCAGGCACCTTCCTTCTTACTCCCTCTCTACTTTGGGGCATCATGGTTTGCAATATAGATACTGAGAGGGTATCGTGTTTGGTCCTTAGTCTACTTTCAGCACGCATCTCCCATCCCAAGCGATCCCTCCAACCATCATTGACTTGGTGATCCCTTCTCCATCCCTCCCCTTTTTTTTGGGCATCTCCTGGATATATTCCCAGAAGTGGTATTGCTGTGTCATATGGGAGCTCAGTTTCTAGTTTTTGGAGGAATGTCCTCATTGTTTTCCAAAATGGCTGGACCAGCTGGCATTCCCACTAACAATGAATAAGAGCACCTTTCTCCCCACATCCTCGCTTGGTTTTACCGAGGAAGAATCGACCAGGAACAAGTGAGACAAACGTGTGCTTGGAGCGCAGGGCAGGGAAAGTGACCGCAGTGCAGAGGGGAGGGAGACTGTTTTGCACCTTTTAATTTTTAAAAGTCTTTTTTTTTAAGTTTTGCCTTTCAATTCTGTTTCTGTCTTTGCCTCTTTCATTCTCATCCATGGTGCTCTGGAAGATATTCGGCTTATTTTTATTACCCAGGTGCTGTCTCTTCACTTTCTTCCTTTGTCTACTTCCCTCAGTTTTATACAGGCAATTAAAAATTCATAATAGGGGCCGGAGAGAGAGTACAGCGGGTAGGGCGTTTGCCTTGCACGCGGCCAACCCGGGTTCAATCCCCGGCATCCCATATGGCCCCCCAAGCACCACCAGGAGTAATTCCTGAGTGCAGAACCAGGAAAAACCCCTGAGCATTGCTGGGTGTGGCCCAAAAAGAAAAAAAATTCATAATAAAACGGTTTGACTGCATATCTACATTTTAGGGGGGACATACCCAGAGGCTCTCGGGGCTCACTCCTAGCTCAGTGCTCAGGGATCACTCCTGGCAGGGCTCAGGGATCCTTATGGGGTGCTAGGGCCAGCTCCCTCCCCTCTGTACTGTTTCCTGTCCTTGCATAACCTACATTTACTGAGCTACAGAGAACAAAGCATGTTTGAAAACGAAAAACATGACAATAGCATTGCCATCGAGAGGGTTCGAGAAGAGCGATCCCAAGTGCTCCCTAAGATCCTGAGAACTTTGGCCCCGAGACATCTCGGGGGACCCGGAGAGGAAGAGGAGAAGCAGAAGGTCTTTGCAATGAAGAGAATATCCCCCAAATCAATTCTGCTTGGATTGTCGTTTTGACGGACCCGATTTCTCACCCCGCTGACTCAGGCAGGGAGTGAGCACTGAGCTCTGAGAGGCCTTTCCTTCCCCGACAGCAAGCCAGCACCTTAGCAGACCCGGACAGTGGAAACATGGAAAAAGTCATCCAAGCGGAAAGCATCACTGTCTACGTCTGGGCGAACCTCAAGAAGAACCCAAGGTAGGCCCTGGGCGACGGGGTGCGGGCGGGGGCGGGCAGGTGTGGACACGGCAGGCACGGATGGAGATGATCCTGGGCACAGGACTGCCTGTCCTCAGCAGAAGCGTGAGCTCATTGGCTCGTGGGTTGGGTGCAGGTGACGGCATGCTGAGTGTCCAGCTCAGAAACGCATGGACAGGTAACAGGTCCTTTTCTCATCCACTTTACCTCCTCCACCCCGTTAATACCCTGGTCCAGGTGCTGCAACTCGTCATTGAGCCACATCCAGCTGTTCAAACTCGGGTGTTTCCTACATTCTCGGGAGATGTTAGTGCTCCTTCCTTCCCCAGTGCTCTCGTCACCGAGACATCTTTCTGAGAGCAGCGGCAGCGTGAGCCGTGAATTCTCCATCACTAGTGTTGCCTGGTCTTCAGTGTTTCAGATTCAGTGAAGCAGGGCCGTGGCGAGCTTGGGGGTGGGAGGAGCCGAGATTCTGGTCTTAGCTCTGAGAAGACGGGTGGTGGGACAGCGCGGGAAACTAGGCTTTAATTTGGCTGTTTAGTAAAAAGAAATGAACAGCGGAGTCAGAGGAGGGGAGGGCTCTTGCCTTGTATGTGGACAGCCCCTTGTTTGATCCCCAGCACCCCGTGGGGTCCCCTGAACTCCACCAGCAGTGATCCCTGAGCACAGAGCTAGGAGTAAGCCCTGAGCACTGCCAGGTGTGACCCCCAAACAAAAACAAACAAATGAAAGAGAGAGAGAGAGAGAGAGAGAGGAGAGGGAAGAAAGGAGGGAAGGAGGGAGAGAGAGATGGAGGGAGAGAGAGGGAGGGAAGGAGGAAAAGAGAAAGAGAGAGGGAGGGAGAAAGAGAGAGGGAGAGAGAGAAGGAGGGAAAGAGAGAGAGAGGAAAAGGGAGGGAAGGAGGGAAAGAGAAAGAGAGGGCAGGAGAGAGAGGGAGGGAGAAAGAAAGAGAGGGAGAGGGAGAAAGGGAGGGACGAGGGGGAGATAAAGGAACAGCATATTTTCCAAGCTTCATTCATTAATTAAAAAAATATCCTGTGGTTTAAGTCTCATCAGAGACAGCATGCTAATATGAGCGTGATTCACTGTAAAATATGTCACGTACAGAGAAGAGTCCAGGGAACCAGGCTGTGCTGCTTCCAAAGCACAGAGTGACAGCAAGGGGTTCTGTGCTAACCCCGGATGGAAGAGCAGACGCGGGGGTCTCTGAGTCAGAGGCGCTTGCTTTGGCTCTGATGAGGGTGGAGAGTGGGTTGGTAGGATGGCTCTTCAGGGTGGGACTCAGGTTCCTCTGAGAGAGCCTCGCCGCCCAGGGCACGGAGGAAACTGAGCTCTGAGGCTTACCTGGGGGTCACCTGGGTAGATCAGTGGTTCTAAGCTGTGAGGGGACCGCAGGTTCTTGGGACGTGAAACTACACCCAGAGCCCAGTCAGGGCCGCTTCTACACCCTCCCCTGCTCAGGAGACATGGTCCTTACCACAGACAGTGTCAGGCGTGTCCTGAGAAGTGGACTCAAGCTGATTCTGTCAAGTGGCCTCTTGTGCGTCTAATCACAGCACCCTCCACGTGGCCTGTGTGGTGCGTCTGTTGGGCCCACAGATGGATATGCGGTATCCCCAAGCGTCGTTTTGTCCCCGTGGCCAGAATGGAGGCCACAGAAATGACAATGTCCAGGCAGAGCAAGCGGGGACAAGAGTCTGAGTGCCGTGGAGGGAGGGTGGGTGGGAAGCAGGTCCCAGATATGAGGCAGGAAGGAGCCACCAGAGATGGGAGAGGGACCTTGGTGGCGGGGGAGGGGTGGAGTGAGACTCACAAGAGCATAAGAGTGATGGGGAGGTACCACTGGCCACCAGTCCAGGGGACTACGGAGAGCACCGAGCATGACCACATGCACCAAGTCGCCAGCTGGCCACTGGCCACGGGACCAAGGCTTCCCGGAGCCTCAGGTGGGTGTTTGTCTCACAGGCAGCGCAGCATCCGGTTCTGTGGCACAGAGATCGGCTTCGAGATCCCCAGGGTGTTAGCCACCAGCGACATCGCCCTCCGGCTCCTGCACACCCACTTCGACCATGTGTCCCCGCTGCCCACTGTGGCCGCCGCCTCCGACCGCGCCCCGGAGCCCAGCAAAGAGGACACAGGGGTGAAGGCGGCGGGCAGCGTGGTGGCCGAGCTGGCGGGCAGCCCCAAGCCAGAGGCCGCGGGCAGCCCCGAGTCGGAGGCGCCGGGCAGCCCCGAACCCGAGGTCGCGGGCAGCTCAGAGCCCGAGGCCTGGGACAGCCTGGTGGAGAGCCCCGCCGAGGACCTGCTGTCGGCCCAGGATGAGGACGCCGAGGTGCCGCTGGAGGTGCAGGAGATGCCCAGGCCCGAGAGCAGCCTGCAAGTGGTAGGTCCCCGACAGCGCGGGGAACGGAGGGCAGTGGTCCAGCCTGGCCCTTCCCGGCGTCCCCGGGAGCATCTGGGGAGGGATGCGGGGTGATGCTCTCACCAGTTGGCCCCAGAGAAGCTTTCCCCAGGCTTTCTCCCTGCACGGTGGCAACACAGCTCTCAATGGAGCTGTGCAAAGCACCAACCAGTGTTCCCGGTCTCCAGGGACCACAGACTCCGGCCGGCTGGCCGCTGGTCCCTCTCCTCCATTTCCATCCCATCCGCCCCTGGGCCAGAGGAAACGGCCTCTGGGGCATTGGGATAGGCTTTCTCAGGATTCAGCAATGGTGGGCCGGGTCTGGGCTTTCCGTGGCCTTTAAAATTCTTTTTGGTTTTGCCTCTATTTGTTGATTTTTAGCCACAGAGAATTTGCATTTTTAGGAAGAACCAAAAATAGTTTTTCGTACAGGTGCTTAAGATATCATGGTTTATTGCTTTATCTTTTTTTTCCCCAAAATATTTATTTGGGGGCTGGAGTGATAGCCCAGCGGGTAGGGCGTTTGCCTTGCATGCGACAGACCTGGGTTCGATTCCCAGCATCCCATATGGTCCCCTGAGCACTGCCAGGAGTAAGTACTGAGTGCAGAGCCAGGAGTAACCTCTATGCCTCGCCGGGTGTGACCCAAAAACCAAAAAAAAACAATGATTTGGGGGTTGGGGGACTCACAACTACTGTGCTCCGGGATTATGCCTGGCTCTATGCTCAGGGATCATTCCTGGCAGTGCTGGAACACCAAAGGTGGTGCCAGGGATCGAACCTGGGTTGGCAGTATGCAAGGCTTGCGTCTTACCCGCTGTGCTATCTCTCTGGCCCCCAAACTGGTGGCAAAAGGTCACCTACAGGTCTTCTTTGTATTTTGTTTGATTTTTTTTTTGGGGGGGGGGAGGAGAGTTTAAGCTACTTCAGGCCTTACTTCTGGCTCCATGCTCCAGGATTGCACCTTGCAGTGTTTCAGGAACCAGATGTGGCACCTGGGATCGAACCCTGGTTAGCTGTGTGGAAGGCAAGTGCCCTAACTAGCTCTCCAGTCCTTGCTTTTTATCATCTTTAAACACAGTTAGGGTTAAGAGTTGGATAGAATATAAATTTGATATCAGGATAGAAATTGCTAGATACTCTAAGAACATAATTGTTAGTTTCCAATTTTCTCCCAATACAGCAGTTTCCTTAGACTTCAAATTAAAGTCCTATCGACTTCCTTTTGGCTTCCAATACCACACAGCCCACACACTCCCTGGTGCCACGCCCCTCCAAGTGCTGACAGCTCCCCACACCTGCCACCAAGCTTCCTTGTCACTGTCACTGTTACTGCCCTCCTGTTGTTCATCGATTTGCTCAAGCGGGCCCAGTAACGTCTCCATTGTGAGACTTGTTGTTACTGTGTTTGGCATATCGAATACGTCACGGGGAGCTTGCCAGACTTCGCCATGCGGGCGAGATTCTCTCGGTAGCTTGCCAGGCTCTCCAAGAGGGGCGGAGGAATCAAACCTGTGTTGACCAGGTGGGCCGCGTGCAAGGCAAACACCCTACCCACTGTACTATCACTCCAGCCAAATTGTGCCTTTTGTGACAACATGGCTGGAGCATGAGATGAGGATGCCACGTGAAGCCTAGAGGTGAAAGACAGCAGATGGTTTCTTTCTTGCTCGAAATACAAGTAGCCAAAGCAAACCCACTAACTGCTCAGAAGGAACTCGGGCTCTGAACCCTAGGATGGGAAGCAGAGGGGAGGGGAAATTCCCGCATAAAATACTATAGCAGCATGTGATATTAGATCATATAGCATGATGGTCCGTGTGAAGGATGGTATTTAGAGCATGACGGTCCGTGTGAGGGATGGTACTTAGAGAATGGTGGTCCGTATGGCAGATCGTGTTTGGAGCATGATGGTCTGTATGAAGAATGGTATTTAGAGCATGGCGGTCCCTATGAGGGATAATATTTAGAGTATGCAGATCCACGTGAAGGATGGTATTTAGAGCATGACTGTCCTGTGAAGGACGGTATGTAGAGTACTGGCACCATGATGTAAAACTCTAAGGGGCTTACCGGGAGCGAAATCCTGGATCAAACTGGTATTTAGAGTGATGGGGATTATGTGATTTGTGTCACGTGGGCCGGGATCCTATACAAGGAGGGGCAGAGATGTGGCCTGAGCCCACCCCTGTGTTCCCAGCACCCTACGGTCCCCTGAGCATCCCCACATACAGCTCCAGAGGCCCCTGTACCACTGGGGGGGCCCTTGGAACCGCCAGCTCCCACTTTCTGGGGCCTGTGCAGTCAGCCACTGGCCTGGGTGTCCGAGGGTCACAGGAAGTGGCCTCTGGGCCCCCTGAGCACTGCTAGAGAAATGCCTTCCCCCAGAATAGCTTAAAAATTCCTGAAGGTGCGGGGATGTGGCTTGGAATAGCACATGCTTCGTGGTAAGTCCTGGGTTCCATCCCCTGCACCTCCCCCCAACACACACACACACACACACACGGAATATTTTTGGAGTAAAATGATTGTATTAAAATAAATTGGGGAGCACTGGAGCAATAGCACAGAGGGTAGGGTGTTTACCTTGCATGCAGCCGACCCGGGTTCGATTCCCAGCATCCCATATGGTCCCCTGAGCACCGCCAGGAGTAACTCCTGAGTGCAGAGCCAGGAGTAACCCCTGTGCATTGCCAGGTGTGACCCAAAAAGAAAAAAAATACAACAAATAAAATAAATTGGGATTTTGCTTCTTAGGTCTCATATCAGCTTTCTGGAAGGGCTCAGTATGTTGGATTCTCCTCCTTCTCCGCACCCTGGAGGTGCTCAGCCTCCGAGCCCTGTCCGTTGTTAGGTGTCCCTTTACCTCTATGAGGGGTGGGGGCAGGGGTTGAGTTAATGACCTTGGTCTTAACATGGTTTAAATGGGCAGTTGAGAAGAAAGCTGAGGGACCAGAGTGACGGGATAGCCGGGAGGGCGCTTGCCTTGGGCATGGCCGACCCGGGTTCGATCCCCGGCATCCCATATGCTCCCCCGAGCACCACCAGGAATAATTCCTGAGTGCAGAGCCAGGAGTCAACTCTGAGCACCCCTGGGTGTGACCCCACCCCCACACCCAGAAAAAAAAAGGGGGGGAAAGAAAGCTCAGTTTTAAGCCCATTAGCTTGAAAGGCAATTTGCAGGATGTATGATTGTATGATGGAAACTTCTTTAAAACTAAGATCGTCCCCAGAAACTGCTCCCACGCCCTCACCTCCCTGCTGCGCGGTGTCTTCTTGCTCCCTGCCTCTCTCGCTGTGAAAGCTGAGGGCCTTGTCGTTTTGATCTGTTTTCTTGACGATTTAGAGGTGTTGCCTGTCTGGTCATTTTTCCATGCTCATCTGTGTGTTTTCCTTGGAAATATGTGTCTTCGGATCCTTTAGCCCATTTTAATTTTCATTATTATTATTTTGGTTTGGTTTCATTTTAAGCCACACCTGGCAGTGCTTAGAGGTTTCTCCTGGACCTGGGATCACAGATCCCCCCTGGTGGGCTGGGGGACCATTTATGTTGCTGGGGACCCAGGCCGGGATCACCCACCTGCAAGGCAAGCTCCCTGATCTCCTGATCCGTTGCTCCAGACACCCTACCCCCACCTCACTCATTTTAGATATTAACCCAGATGTTCCTAAACTTATTTGTCCTGCCACTCCCTTTAAAAAAATCACTCAAAGGGACAGATATAGAAAGATTGCAATCATCTGGGGAACATAAGGTAACAAAAATAAGAGACTAACACCCAAGAATAGCCGAGATAGGTACCAGGAGGTTCACTCCATGGCTTGGAGGCCAGCCACACAGGCTAGGGGAAAAGGGAGCTCAGATAGAGAAGGGAGCACCAAATAAAGGGTGTTGGGAGGATCCTCCCAGGATGGGTGAAGCATGCGGAAAGTAGACTACAGACCGAACATGATTGCCACTCAATGCCTCTCTTGCAAACCACAGGACCCAATAGGAGAGAGAACAAAAGGGAATGCCCTGCCACAGAAGCAGGGTGGGATGGGAGGGGTGGGGGGGTGGGAGGGATACTGGGATCCGTGGTGGTGGAAAATGGGCACTGGTGGAGGGATGGGTACTCGATTATTGTATAACTGAAACCCAAGCACGAAAACTTGTAAGTCCACAACTGTACCTCTTGGTGTTTCATTAATAAAAATTGAAAAAAAAAATCACTCAGGTTCTGCACCCACAAACCCACTTTATTTAAGCAAACAGAAGGAACCCCCAATTTCACAAGAGGCTGCTAGTTTCCCACAGGGGTCCGGGTGGCCCCAGGCGGGGGTAGTGTGCATGCAAGTGTCTTTCACACCCTCCAGGCTAAAACAGACAAAGGCAACTGAGGCAAAAACCAACGTTGGGACCAATGACAAGCTCGTGTGGTTCCAATGTCGGGTTTTGCTTTTGTTGCCTTTGTTTTTTTTTTCTTTGGGTTTGGGGGCCATACGTGGTGGTGCTCAGGGCTTACTCCCAGCTTTGCATTCAGGGATGACTCCTGGTGGGATTCAGGGAATCGTATGAGACGCTGGGGCTGGAACCCAGGTCGGCTGCATGCAAGGCAAATGCCCTACCTGCTGTACACTGCTGTACTATTGCTCTGGCCCCAAATGCTTGCGTTGCATTTAGTGAAAAACAAAAAAGTTACTGAAGAGCTTCCTGCTCTGCTTTCTCTGCTGGTTGAAGGCTTCAGGTTGGTGGAAGAGTCAGGCTCATGCTCTGCTCGTGCCTGTCCAACATCCCCAGCATTCATGAAAGATACTGGATTGTTTCTCTCCCTGAACCCACCCACAACCCCCCTGTTGTATTTTCTTGTCTCGTTTTCCAAATGAATGAGTTCACCATTCAAGTATGGGGTACTTCCAGGCTCTTGATTCCGTGTGTGTGTGTGTGTGTGTGTGTGTGTGTGTCGCTTTTTGGGTCACCCCCCAGTGATGCTCAGGGGTTATTCCTAGCTCTGCACTCAGGTGGTACTCAGGGGACCCTATGGGATGCTGGGAATCGAACCCGGGTCAGCCGCGTGCAAGGCAAATGCCCTCCCCGCTGTGCTATCGCTCCAGCCCCCCAAAACCCTTTTTGATGGGTCACTGTTAATATATGAAAATTCAGCTGACGGGCCCGGGAGATGACTCAAAGGGCCGGAGCACTTGCTTTTTTCTCTGAGTGGTTTAGGGGCCATACCAATGGTATTCAGGGCTTACTCCTGGTTCTGTGCTCAGGGGTCACTCCTGGTGGAGCTCAGGGGACCTTATTGTGTTGCCAGGGATGGAACCCGGTTCAGCCACGTGCAAGGCGAGCAAGCATCTCATCCATTGTATTGTCTCTGGCCTAGAATTTTCTGCATCAATGTATTGCCTGCAGCTAGTTTCACATTCTCCTTTTTGGTTTGTGTGCTATCCCCACCCCAAGTGCTGTGGTCATGTTTTCCGGGACCTCGTAGGAATAAAGTGGCGACACGGGCATCATAGCACTGGCGATGGCCTCCAAGGAGAAGCTTCCTGCTCTCGCTGTTGAGTGTCAGCTATGACCTCTCTCTGGTTGGAGTATGGCTGTGAGGGACAGGCCCAAAATGGACTACCACCAGAATGAATTTAACTTAGCTTAATAGGAACCTGCATTGCAAAATAACTCGTTTTTCAAGGAACAGGTCTAGATAAGCTTTTTCAGATCCGCTTTGTAGGAGCCTGCACTGCAAAATAACTGGTTTTTCTGCCCCTGAGCAAGGAATTCAGATACAGGTCCTCGAAGGGTGGGGGTCAGACCAGATAACCGGATGTCTCTCACAAGACCCATGTTGCAAGACCCAGGACTGCCTTAAAAACCTGTCAGTTCCTAAGCACCGACGCAAAATGCTGATCTTTAAACTATAGGCTAAGACGTGATGTGCCCTTAATTGGATTGGTTAAGAAAGCATATGTTGTTACAAATCTATTGGCTATGAAATGCGCGGGCTTTGCTGTAACGGCCAGTGAAGACCTATATAAGATCCCCTTTGAAGAAGTTCGGGGTCTTGCCTCACCTAACTGACCTGCGTGTCTGTGTAGGCGGCTTGACCCTGGCTAGCCAGTCTTACAATAAACCTTGCTTGCTGTTTGCAGTCTCTGGAGTCTCTTTGTCGTTAAAGGGAGATCACGATCCGCGCCCTAACAATGTCGTGTCCTCCCTGCTTTGTCTAGTGGTGTTTGGGTTTGGGTTTTAGTGATGACTAGCTGTTACTGTCCTGTTATTACACAGAAAGCACACTGCTTTTTGCTGAGGGCTTTTTCTGCCTGTGTTCAAGGACAGGGAATTGTCGTGTCTGATACGGGCGTCAGGGTTATGTTGACCTTGGGAGTGAACCTGGGAGTGTTTCTGCCACAGCTGCGCATTTGGAAGAGCTTGGGAAGGACAGGGATTAGCTCTCTGATTGGCTGGTGGCATCAGCGAGGCATCTAACCCCGGCCTTCTCCCTGCCCGCTTTCTTCCTGTTTTGTGGTGGGAATTTTCACCGAGAGCCAATGAAAGAGCCAGGCTACACCTCCAAGAAGTGAGATGGTAGTCTTATGATCCCAGCAGGCCCAGCTGGGCAGGGGCCACAGCAGTGCCCACGTGGGGGGGTCACTGGGGTCACATGGGGTGAACTGCTTAGACTGACAACTTAAGGTTGGCACATTTTCGTATAAATATTACATTTCTTATCATCTTTCTGTTGGGTTTGGAGAGGAATCCAAAGACAGAGATCAGGAATTTCTGACTCATAGTACTGGGGTCGTACTTGATATGTAGCCTGGGATGGTACCACAAATTACAGATATTTAGTACTTTGTTAGTTTAGCATCGAATCTCTTAGATTTAGAAGATGATGCAGAAGAGCTCTCCTTTTTTGTCTGTTTGTTTGGGGGCCACACCCATAGGTGCTCAGGGGGACCCTGTGGGGTGCCAGGAATAGAACCCGGGTCTGCCACTTGCAAGGTGAGTGCCCTCCCCGCTGTGCTACGGCTCTGACCCTCTTTTCCTTCCCTTAAGAACTCTGTCACTAGAGGGCTCTTAATACCAAATTTTATCTTGACAATCCTGTAATACTGTAAGCACTGGGCAGTTCCGTCTTCCCAATTAGTACAGTTTGCAAACTTTTGATAGAAATCAAGCTTATGGTCAGTATCATAAAACAATAATCATCTCCAGAAATAGTTTAGTGATCTGTGGGGCATGTGTGATATAGCATATGGGTCTCTGAGCTTCTGTGGAAGAAGTTACAAATAATCTCTGTCTTTAAGATACTCAAAACCAACATCAAAGATAACAGTAAGGGTACCTGTCACTGTCACTGTCACTGTCCTCCCAATGCTCATCGATTTGCTGAAACGGGCCCAGTAACATGGTGAGACTTGTTACTGTGTTTGACATATCGATTACATCACGGGGAGCTTGCCAGGCTTTGCTGTGCGGGAGAGATACTCTCGGTAGCTTGCTGGGCTCTCCGAGAGGGGTGGAGGAATCGAACTCGGATCGACCATGTAGGCCGCATGCAAGGCAAACGCCCTACCCGTATCTGGTGTAAATATGAGTGTATTTTTACGATGTTTGGGGGGGGTAGGAGCTGGTTCAAATCACGATGGGCCCAACCCCAGCACTGACTGTGCCAGGAAGAGTCTCCCAGTACCCCGTGAGCTCCCCTCCCCCACCCCCCTCCTCTCTGTAGCCTCAGCTCTGAGCATACCCCTCTGACCTCCCCGCAGCCTCCCTGCCACCCGGAGGTCTGAGGACCCTCTCTGCTCCCCGCCTTTCTGCCTTCATGCTCTCGGACTGTCGTCCTGCCTGTTGGCGAAGGGCCGAGTTCTCTCTCCAGGTTTGCCATAGCAGCCACCCTGGCTCCCCCAACCCCATCCTTGCAGAATGGCCTGTTTCCCGGTCACCTGCAGCACCCCCCCCCGGGGTACCCCATCTCCTCACCAACTTCCCTACCAGACCAGGAGGTCCTTTAAATTTGGAGGGGCACACCCAGCAATGCTCAGAGTTACTCCTCAAACTGCACTCAGGAATTACCCCTGGCAGTGCTCAGGGAACCAGAGGGGATGCCGGGGATCGAACCCGGGTTGGCAGCCTGCAGGCAAGAGCCCTCCCGGCTGCATTCTCGCTCCCTCCCCTAAATTTTTTTTTCTGCTTTTTGGGTCACACCCGGCGATTCACAAGGGTTCCTCCTGGTTCTGCATTCAGGAATTACTCCTGGTGGTGCTCAGGGGACCATATGGGATGCTGGGAATCAAACCCTGGTCGGCTGCATGCAAGGCAAACACCCTACCTGCTGTGCTATCACGCCAGCCCACCCCTAAATTTTTTTTAAATTTTTATTAGTGAGACACCATGAAGTACAGCTGTAGTCTTACAAATTTTTGTGCTTGGGTTTCAGTTATACAATGATCAAATACCCGTCCCTCCACCAGTGCCCATTTCCCACCACCATGGATCCCAGTATCCCTCCCACCCCCCATCCCCCCCATCCCCCCCTGCTTCTGTGGCAGGACACTCCCCTTTGTTCTCTCTTTCCTTTTGGGTGCTGTGGTTTGCAGAAGAGGCACTGAGTGGCAAACATGTTCAGTCTATAGTCTACTTTCAGCATGCTTCTCCCATCCTGGGAGGATCCTCCCAACACCTTTATTTGTTGTCCCCTTCTTTATCTGAGCTCCCTTTCCCCCTAGCATGTGTGGCTGGCCTTCAAGCCACACATAAAATTCCTCCACCCCTAAATTTAAAAAAAGAATAATTAAAGAACTGTGGTCACTTGATTACTTGATCACTTGACTTCCTGTTATTCATCGATTTGCTCGAGTGGGCACCAGTAATGTCTCCATTTGTCCCTGTCATGTGCTAGTGTAGCCCAATGGCATCTGTTCATTCTAGGAACACAAAGAGCCTCAAACCGATCATTCAGGGTCTTGACGAAGAAGTCTGACCATCTTGTAGGTGGGCGGCCACACAGTCTTTTGACATCCTGTGGAATCCAGTTGGTAATGGCTCTAGTCCAGCAGTCGTCTTTGTATACTGTGGTATACAATGTTATTGATAGCTGAGTTTGGGGCATATACTATTTCCACACCAGTCGCACCACTAGTGGCAGCTTCCCTCCAACAGAGTTCCCATATTTCGTGGCCCCTCCCTCCTAGGGTCCCCATAACAGACACATTCCAACATTCCAAAGTTGTGGTGGTTGCAGCTTAGATCTCATTTTCAGTGTTGTTGAGTTTGTTTTGGGTATTGGCTGTACCATGACTGTATGACTGAAGCCCTTTCCCTGTCGCCCACGACCTCCCGTTCTCCTCTTCTTCCTTGATTCCTCCCTTCTCTGTCCTTCTCCTCTGGGTACCAGAGTTCTGGCAGAAGGTTCTGACAGGAAGAAAACTGGGGTCCGAGGTCAGGGACTCGCTGGGTGTCACCTGGTTCCCAAGAGCAGCCGCACACTCTGTACTTCTGTAAGTGTCCCTCAGGGAAGTGTCCCTCACAGTCACACACTGTCCCTCAGGGGATAGTCCCTCACAGTCACATACTCTCTCTCAGGGGTGTGTCCCTCATGGTCACACACTGTCCCTCAGGAGTGTTCCTCATGGTCACATACTGTCTCTCTCAGAGGAGAGTCCCTCATGGTCACACGTTGTCCCTCAGGAGTGTGTCTCTCACAGTTATATGCTGTCTCTCAGGGGTGTGTCCCTCATGGTCACATACTGTCCGTCAGGGGAGTGTCCCTCACACTCACACGTTGCCCCTGAAGGGAGTGTTCCTCAAGGTCACACACTGTCCCTCAGGGGAGTATCCCTCACGCTTACACACTGTCTCTCAGGGGTGTGTCCCTCACGGTCTCACACTTCTCTCAGGGGAATGTCCCTTACGGTCACAAGCTGCCCCTCAGGGGAGTGTCCCTCATACTCACACATTGTCCCTGAAGGGAGTGTCCCTCAAGGTCACACACTGTCCCTCAGGGAAGTGTCTCTCACGGTCACACATTGTCCCTCATGGTCATACACTGTCTCTCAGAGGAATGTCCCTCATGGTTACATACTTTCCCTAAGGGGAGAGTCCCTCACAGTCACACTGTCTCACAGGGGAGAGTCCCACAGGGTTACACTTGCCTGCTTACATCTCCTTCTCAGTCACACCCCCCAGGGTGCCGCCATCACAGGACCTGGCCCGTGGGCCTGACCTCCACAGGCTTCTTTCCCTGTTTGTCCAGAGAGATAGCAGCCTCGCATGCCACTGCCAGGTGGCCTCTGTGTGGCACCCAGAGAGGGGCGGAAATGCCACCCGGCCACTGCCCAGAGGTGAGGACGCATGCCCAAGGGCACAGCGGTGAGTTGGTGGCAGATTGAGAAGAATGTTCTAGAACTGAGGGCCTCTACCCAGGTCTCCTTCAGGAGATGGTCCCTGAGAAGCAGACCCCAAAGCGGGGGCCGGGGAAGGTCCCTGAGGGGGCTGGAATGGGGTGTCCCGCACGCTCACACACTGTCCCTCAGGAAAGTGTTGGTCACGGTCACACGTTGTCCCTCAGGGGAGTTGTCCATCAGGGGACACCCCAAATCGGCATGCACCAGGCCCTGAGCCTGGTCCTGGGCCCCTGGCACTGCTGGGTCGAGCACAGAACACGCTGAGTAACTCTTGCAGGATCTCCCCCAACCCCCAACTCGCCCACCCCCACCCCACCAGGCAAGGAGCCGTCAGTCTTCAGAATCACTCTCTCAGAGCTGATGGCCACAGTCCAGCAACATAGTAAAGACCGAGATGCAAACGCAAACCCTCCTTCCGTGGCCGCGTCACGGGGCTCACTCCTGCTCTGCCGCGTCCTGTGGGACACGTCCCCTGGGGCTGCTGGTTGAACAGCATTCGTGCGTCCGGCTTGAGGCCAGAGCGGGTGTCAGTGGGGGGCCCTGGGCGTGGGTGGCGGAGCCTGACCCCCTTCCCTGTCCTGTTTCCTCAGCCGACAGTGGAGGAAGACGACCTCACACAGGAGCTGGAGATGGCGCTGCTAAGTCAAAGGGTCTCGGCAGGTATCTCCTCATTCCTCCGGCCCTCAGTCTCAGCTTCATCAGAGTATTCTGTCTGTCCACCAATGTGGGGTCATCGTGACACCAACAAATCCAGATGTTGCCAAAATGGCTTAAGAGTGTGAATTGTGGAGCTGGAGTGATAGCACAGCAGGGAGGGCATTTGCCTTGCACGCGGCTGACCTGGGTTCGATTCCTAGCATCCCAGATGGTCCCCCAAGCACTGCCTGGAATGATTCCTGAGTGCAGAGCCAGGAATAATCCCTGAGCATTGCTGGGTGTGACCCCAAACACACACACACACACACACACACACACACACACACTGAGTGTGATTTCTTTGATGTTATGAGGATCCGTTGTGGAAGCCTCCCCCTTTTTTTCTTTTCTTTTTTACTTTGTGTACAACAATGGGCTGGAGCCATAGCACAGTGGTAGGGCATTTTGCCTTGTGTGCAGCCGGCCCGGCTGAGCCAGGTTTGATTCCTCTGCCCCTCTCGGAGAGCCCGGCAAGCTACCGAGAGTATCTCGCCTGCACGGCAAAGCCTGGCACGCGGCCGACCTGGGTTCAGTTCCTCTGTCCCTCTCGGAGAGCCCGTCAAGCTATTGAGAATATCCCACCCGCACAGCACAGAGCCTGGCAAGCTGCCCGTGACGTATCTGATATGCCAAACACAGTACCAACAAGTCTCACGATGGAGATGTTACTGGGCCCGCTCGAGTAAATCTATGAACGGTTCATCGTACAATGCTACTTTGTGTACACTCTGTCTCATTAAAACCATAGCGTCCTATTATACTCATGCTTTTGTAGAAATTATTTGTCTCACCTGGCAGGCTTTATCGTTCTTGAACAGTCTTCCACACGGACTTGGAAGGTGCCACGCATCCTACAGAAGTGGCTTATTCGCGCCTGTCACATGCACTGCTGACCTCCCGTGGGATTAGCCGGGTCAGGCCACACAGAAGTGCGGCCTCGGAGGGTGGCAGTGAGGAGCCACCCCTGTAGCTGACCTTCCCCAGCACCCAGACACCGGACCCCCACCCCCACCCAATGCTGTACACGCGTGCACACAAACACACACACACACGGGTGCACACACATGCACACACGCACACACATATACACATGCACACACATACACACATGCACACACACAACACAGACACATATGCACACATACACACATGCACACATATAATACACATACACACACATACACACATGAAAACACAGCACACACATACACATGTGTATATGCAAACACAATGCACACACAGCACACACATGTGCACACACACAAACACACAACACATACAACACACACATGCACACACACAACACAGACACATACACACACATACACGCACAACACAGACACATACGCACAACACACACAACACATACAACACACACATACACACATGCACACACACAACACAGACACATACAGACACATACATGCACAACACACACAACACACACATACACACACAACACACACATACACACAACACACACATACACACACGCATCCACACAGCACACACACCTTTCTGAATCTTGTCTAGTCTTATCTCGCCGTCTCATCTTGCCAACTCTGACAGTCTGGGAAAAGGTCAGGACAACAGGGATGTTGAATTTCTTAACCCTTCCATCTGAGATTGGACTTCGTCACCGCCTCCTTTCTAGTCCCTTCTTGCCACCGCCACCAATTTCATGTCAACGTGAAATGAAATTTTACTTTGTGGACAACAAGTCTCACGGTGAAGCACCGTGGTTTGCAGTCACTCACCGTTGGGTCTTCGGCCTCCCACGTTGCAGCCCCGACCCCAGCTCAGGGCCAGGTTCGCTCCACCCCCGTTCCCAGGGTTCCACCCCCAACCCCTCCACCCCACTTGCCCTCTCGACTGCCCTCTCGGTGGGCGTCGCTTTAGTTGGCTTGAGTCTGGGCTCCTGCTTTCAGCCGTCGGCTCTGTGGCTTGGACACTCAGCTCCGCCGCTCTGCCCCCACCACTGACGCACAGCGGCCCGGGCCCGCTGCTTCTCATCCGTCTCTTCTCTCGTCTCTCCTCCTTCTTGAGGACTCTCTTTCCCACATCATTCAGAGCATGTTTTCTGGAGCTGCGTTCTTGTTCACTTTCTCCAACACACTTTTGTTTCTGCCGACGCCCAGGCTTGTTTGGATTTTGTGTTTGGGTTTGGCTTGGGGCTCACCCACTGGTGCTCAGGGCCTACTTACTGCCCGGTGCTTGAGGGTCACTTCCAAAGGTGCTGGGGGCAGGGGAGGGGCACAGCTTCTGCCCTGGACAGAGCCGGCGGCCCTCCTCACTGTACTACTTTTTAAAAATTTGTCCAGATTCTTCCTGAAAAACAAACAAAAAAATCGTACCATCTAGTGAAGTAAAAACTTCCTTTAGCAGTGTAGGAATTTCCTCCTGTTTCCCTCCTAAGAAAACATGAATAGTAGTAGTAGTAGTAGTAGTAGTAGTAGTAGTAGTAGTAGTAGTAGTATAGCACTGTCCTCCCGCTATTCATCGATTTTCTCGAGGGGGCACCAGTAACGTCTCCATGGTGAGACTTGTTGTGACTGTGTTTGGCATATCGAATATGTCACGGGGAGCTTGCCAGGCTCTGCCGTGCGGGCGGGATACACTCAGTAGCTTGACGGGCTCTCCAAAAGGGACGGAGGAATTGAACCCAGGTCGGCCGCGTGCAGGGCAAATGCCCTACCCGCTGTGCTATCACTCCAGCCCAATAATAGTAGTAATAATAATAATAAAAAATGAGGACTCAGATGTGTACTGGCCTTCCTCTCCCTGCAGCGCAGCTGAAGATGCTGGAGAACGTGCAGGACAAGCCTGAAATCTTTGAAGACGACGAGGTCGACCTGTGCCAGTTCTCCACCCTGGGCGGTGTGTACCACCTGGACGTTCTGGAACTGCCTCCTCAGTGTAAACCAGTGAAGGGCTGGGTGATCGTGCGGGTGAGTGCCCCCCCCACACACACACACACAGCTCACCGCTGCCCTCTTTCCTCACTCTTGCACTCTGTTCCGAGTGACGGAACCCCAGGAAGCTGGGCAGACTTGAATTCGCCCCTGCCCTGCCCCCAGTACCTTTGGAAGTGACCCCCCAAGCACCGAGCAGGAAGTAGTCCCTGAGCACCAGTGCGTGAGCCCCAAACCAAACACAAACACAAACTCCATACAAGCCAGGGGCATCTGCAGAAACAAAAGTGTGTTGGAGGAAGTGAACAAAATTAAGGACCAGGACCTAACCCAGGCGGCTCGCACCTGGATCGCACGTCACCTTGAACTTGAAGCGTGGTGCCTTCCGTTGAGACTGGGTCAGAGTGACCTTCAAATGAGGTCTCCCTCCGAGGCTCGCTGTGCCTCTGTCCAGCTGTGGGGGGCCTCCCCGCCCCCCAGCCCTGTGGCTTGGAGGTGACGGGGGAGTCGCAGGACAGAACCAGGCCTGCGGGGATCCCAGAGCACCGTGATTACCTTTGAACTCTGATTCTTTATGATTAAAAAAATATTGGTGTGATGTTTTGTTAATGTATAGCGAAGCGGAAGTGAATCATAGTGCTTGTTAAGAACTGTGCAGGGGCAGAGTATAGTATAGCGCGTTCGATGCAGTGTCTCCTTGCACACAGCCAACCTGGGTTCTATCCCCGGGTCCCTTTAGGGTCCCCCGAGTCCACCAGGAGTGATCCCTGAGTGCAGAGTCAGGATTTAACCATGAGCATGCTGGCTGTGAGTCCCCCGCCAAAAGAACCAAACAAGCAGAAAAGAGTAACTGTACTGGTGACGTTTGTATCTCGGATTAGTCAGCTGCTAAGTCAGTGCTACTTTTGGTCCCTTTGAAAAGGTGCTCCAGGAAGGATTACAGAAATACATCTACCCACCAGAAGCCACGGAAGAGGTTGACGTAGAAAACGCCTTCCCGCCCATTGAGGTCACGCTGGAGGTCCACAAAAATGTCATCTTCTTTGAGAATCCCCAGGTGGCAAGGTGGGACCCTCAAGGTACAGCAGTGCTTCTTCCTCCTTGGCTGAGTGTCCGACACTGCGGGGGGAGCATGAGACCCCCAACCACAGGTGTGATGACGCGCCCAAGGCCCCATCTCACAATCCGCTTCGTTTCCTCTGCTCACCAGAGACATGAACAGGGATCCAGGCTTAAGATTTGGCTGAGTTTTGTAACTTCCTTCCTGAAGGGGGCTATCTGGATAGTTATTATACTGTGCACCATTATGAGTTAAATGTGTGTGTGTGTGTGTGTGTGTGTGTGTGTGTGTGTGTGTGTGTGTGTGTGTCCAGATACAATCGTAAAGGAAAAAGCCTACATGCTCCCTAAAATAACTCAGATTGTCATTATAACTTGATTCTGGGGCTAGAGGGATATACAGTGGGCCAGACAGTCTCCCTGGGGACTTGGGGGGATTCAAGTTCAAACCCCAAACCTGCCTGACCCTGCTGAGTTCCGGAGGTCAGACAAGATGAGGGTTCAGGGTTCACGATGGTCTGTGCATCGATCAAGTTGGTTTTCTTTGATTTCCAGTGCCAACTCAGACAAAGACCTAGAAGGATCATGAATCCTTTTCCTTCTCGCCCTCCCAAACCATGGGGAACCTGTTTTGCTGGGAAACACTAACTCTTGGAGAATTTATCTCTAGACAATGGTTTACTTTTATCATGGGCAATGAAAATGATTTGCCTGATTACGGGAAAATCAAGGAATTATGAGTTACTTATTGTGTTGACACAGTCATATCTATTTCGCTGAATTTAAGATTTAAGAGGGCTGGGTCCCTGCATGGAGCAGAGAGGCACTGAGGGGAAAGAGACAGAGGCCTCTGGGGAGGGAGGGCTTATCAGATGCCCCCCCCATACGGGATTGGGAGTAGGAGGTGCGGGGGAACTCCCCCACCCTTCTGGGCTCTGGGTTTGTGGCCGCCACACAGTGTGGGGGGGCGGGGGAGGAATTTGATTGCAGAACTTAGGCGGGTAGAGAGTCAAAAGCCAGTAGGGCCAAGTGAGTGTTTGTTTCCTGAACCGAGGCGGGAGATGGGCCTGGTGCTGAGGCCCAGGGCTCCAGGTGACCAAGGCCAGCAGTTCTGGGCTGGACTGTTTGTCCCCCCACCTGGGGGGGGATCTCTCCCAGTCATAGCTTATTTCTGGCCAAAGTCTTGACTTCCAGGCAACACCCGAGTTGTGATTCTCCCGGGCGGTCCAAGGAGTGGTCAGCATCCTGGGTGTGGTCAATGTCCTGGGTGCGGGCAGCTGTCACTGACCCCACACCTGAGGACAGAGTTCTGGGAGAGGCTGCTTCTGCATCTCGCATTCGAGCAGAGGCTGGCAGGGAAACCCAGAGCCGGCACAGGAAGTGCTGCCTCAGACCATGACTCGAGTGGACCAGGCTTGGGTCCAGCCAGAGCATCTGCCCAAGCTCAGAGGATGGACGCCAGGGCCACCAACCTCCACACGCGAGTCTCTGTCTGGAGGTGTGTCATGGTTGTGCTCTTATAGTTAAGTATCATGGCCGAACCCCGGCAGCTGAAGACCTCCGGTTCCAGCCACAGCCATGCTTAAAACCACTCTCCACACGTTCAGACGAGCCTCACGCATGAAGGAACCGGCAGAGGAACCTAGGTGTGCGGGACCTGGGGCGTAGATCTCCAACCCTGCTCAGGTTGGGACTGGGGCCTCCTCCACCCAGATCCCCATCTTCCAGTATGTGGTCTTTAACACCCACCAACAGTCCCCAGCATTGTGTAATCCCATCAACGGCCAAGACTCAGAGACTATAAAACCCTGTTCCCGGAAGCACGTGGCCGCATTTGCGGCCGCGCAACATCTTATTATCTAGGTCTTACTCTGGAGAACCTGGCAGGCTACCGAAAGTAGCAGAGTCTGGCAAACTCCCCGTGGTGTATTCAGTATGCCAAAAACCAGTAACAATGATGGGTCTCATTCTCCTGATCCTGAAAGAGCCTCGAATGTGGTACTTTTTAAAATCTCAGGGCTAGGATGAAGGAGACGTTACTGGGGCCTGCTCGAGGCAATCGATGACCAACAGGATGACAGTGATACAGTGATCATGGCACTTGGGGCCTGGCCCATTTCGATGCCAGGGTAGCTCACAGCTTGCACTGGGTCCATCAGTCTTTCATCGGGACCCTGCTCTTGGAGTGGTAGGAACTAAGGGCAACTGAGACTTGAGTCAAGTAAATACGGACGCCCAGGAGTAGATATTATTTTGGAGTCAATTGACTCCCAGGTTACATAGCATAGCATCAATTGTCTTCCTGTGTCTATACAGAAAGGACATTGCTAAATTTACCATACAAGTGACGTAAAGGAAAGAGAAAAGCGATATAGGATTATTAGTTGTGCCTCAGTTGCTCTGTTGTAGGAGTGGCTCAATCAACCTTAAGCTCCCGGCGGGAGCAGTAAAGTGTTATCCAAACTTAGGAGTAGAGTCGCTGAGGTGAATGGAAAATTGGTTTCACTCTCTGTGACCTTCATATGTTGGTTTTCCATTTTTGAGGTGCCATGGCACTTGATGTGCCTGCTAGTAGCATCCACGATTTCCCGTGGTCCCGTTACCCATCTGTGGCACTCGGCAGTTTCCAGGTACAGGTGAATGCTAGTGACACTGTGGAGCGCAGAGCTCCGGGCCTTGGTGATTCTTTTAATCAGCGCTTTTCACACTCTAGATAAAGACACAGAGGACAAGTCTTTACATTGCTTCCCATCCTGGCTCTTCTTTTTTTCGTTGGGTGGTTTTTGTTGTTGTTGTTGTTTGGCTTGTCGAGCTTTTTATTTTTAAAAAATATAGTTTAGATATTGCCTTTATATGCTGTAGGCTATGCAAAAATCTCCTTTATTCAGGAGTTTGGTGTTTGTTTGTTTGTTTGTTTGCATGATCACTCTTATGCAGAATTCCGCTGTTCAGAGGGAATGCAGAGCTTTGGCTGAGCTGAATGTGTATAGTGGGGTGCAGCAGTCCTGCTTTCTGTGTTGCTTTTGTCTTTAAGTCGCAGTTGCAGTTGAATTTAAGGCCAATGGCAAAGAGTAACATGGTACATACATCCTGTTTCTATGTATTTTATGCTTTCAAGATTTATGTTGAAGTCTGAGCCCACGTATAATTTCTGTCCCCAAATGTGGCTAGTTTCATTCTTTTGCATGTGGCCATCCATTTTTCCCAGCTGGTATGTTGAGAAGACTTCTTGCTCCATTGAATACTCTTGTATGCTTTGTCTGACGGTATTTATTCATGTTCCTGTTTTTTCCCTGCACTTTTGGTTTGGTCGAGGGATCTGCCACTCTCTATTCCAATACTGTACTGTTTGTTACTACCGGTCTGCAGTAGTTTGAGGTGAGTGTGAAAACTCCATTTTGGTCTTGTTTAATTTCCAGGATTATCTGGACAATTGGGATCTTTTGAAATTCCAAAGTTTGTGAGCTCTTGGTTGTATTTCTGTAATAAAAGTCATTGGAACTCTGATAGATGACACTGAATCTGAAGGCTGCATTAGGGAATAATTCTTCCCCTCTCTGTCCGTGAGTCAAGATTATCTGTTCATTTCTTGATCTCTTCTATTTCTTTCAGCAGCTCTTAGAGCTTTCAATGTACAAACCTTTCATTAATTCGGCTTTATTTATTCCTAGGTATCCAATTCATTTTTTTGGTGCGGTAGGAAATGGGATTCTCTCCCTGCATTCTCTTGTACGGAGGGCTTGCGGATAGAAACACGTCTGGATTTGTTTCCTTTCATGTCCATGTATCTCAGGGCCCCTGGAGCCCTGCCACACATAGGCGAAGAGTCAGGCTGTACCACTGGTGGAACATGACTGGGGTCATGCCTGAGTCCTTCTGGGGAGACCCATGTGCGTGCATGTGTGTGCGCACGCATGTGTGCGTGTACGTGTGCACGTGTGTGAGTGCATGTGTGTACATGTGTGTGCATGTGAGTGTGTGCTTATGTGTAAGTGTGTGCACGTGTGTATATGTGTGCGCGCATGTGAGTGTGTATGCAGGTGTGTGCAAGCGTGTGTTCATGTGCATGTGTGTGAGTTTACGTGCGTGTGTCCATATGTGTGCAGGGGTGTATGTTAGTGTGTGCATGTGTGTATGTGAGTGTCCGTGTGTATGCATGCATGTGCATGTGTGTGAACGCGCATATGTGTGCACATGTGAGTGTGTTCGTGTGCATGAGTTTATGTGCGTGAGTATATGTGTGTGCATGTGTGTATGTGAGTGTGTGCGTGTGTGTATGTGAGTGTGTGCGTGTGTGTATGTGAGTGTGTGCGTGCGTGTGTGTATGTGAATGTGCGTGTGTATGCATGCACGTGCATTGTGTGAACGCGCATGTGTGTGTGCATGTGAGTGTGTTCGTGTGCATGAGTTTATGTGCATGAGTATATGTGTGTGAATGTGTGTATGTGAGTGTGCGTGTGTGTATGAGTGTGTGCGTGTGTGTATGTGAGTGTGTGCGTGTGTGTATGTGAGTGTGTGTATGTGAGTATTTGCGTGTGTGTGAGTGTGTGCCTGTGTGTATGAGTGTGTGTGTGTGTATGTGAGTGTGTGTGTGTATATGAGTGTGTGCATGTGTGTATGCGAGCATGTGCATGTGTGTGAAAGCGCATGTGTGTGCATGCACGTGTGAGTGTGTTCGTGTGCAAGTGTGTGCGTTTGTGTGTATATGTGTGTGCGTGTGTGTATGTGAGGGTACGCGTGTTATGCGTGCATGTGCGTGTGTGTGAAAAGTGCATGTGTGTGCACATGTGAGTGTGTGTGCATGTGCAGTGTGCGTACGTGTGTGTGAGTGCGCGCACATGCCTGCACGCCCATGGGTACGCAGCAGAATTCCCTGTTTTCATTTTTGAGGCTGCCGCTTTACTGTGCCACTGCAGACGGTTTGTGCTGGAGTCTCTGGGTGTTCTATCATGGATCATCTTCTGGGGCCCATTTTCAAACCGCACTGTTTTGCGGAGTCTGAAGAACACAAGGGACCGACCATGGTTACCCCATTGCGTGATAGGAGACACCCAGAGAAGACAGAGCATCTCTGTTTTCCTGGAGTTGGGGAAGTATTCACGAGCAGTCACCAGGGGCTGTGGGTGGGACTAAACTGTGACGGAGCAGTGGGTGCGTCGGGAGAGGCTGATTAGTGCCGAATTCCGGGGAGGGCTGCCCCCACCAGCGAGGGTAAATTTCACATTATTGAGACAGGAGTCAAGGGAACAGACCAACCCTCGGCCTTGGACTGCAAAGCTGATCAGTTGTGGGGGGTGCGGGGGTGGCAGTGAGGGTGAGACTGGAGGTGACAAGGGTAGGGAAGGGAAGGGAAGGGGCACCGTGCCTTGGTGGCGGGGGGTGCAGTAATTTGCACACCAGCTCCATAAGCTTTAATACTATCGTAACCTGTGACCTAAACTACAGTCAAATAAATCAAGTAACTGTATACTTCAGTCGAGACCAACTACTCCAGGAAGAAAGACCAGCATGCAGACAGGCCTGGGGTGTGGCTTGTCCTTGGGGAAGGGAGATCGTGACCGGGGGCAAGGTCAGTGTGAACCCCACATTTCTTTCATCCCAAAGCTCTGAGCCCAGCTGGGATGTACTCCCACTGGCATGAGCCGCTCCCAGACACGTTGGTCTCTGGAGCTTCTATTGTAGGTGGCAAATCTGTCCACCCACCAGTACTGGGGCGGGGCGGGGGGCTTCTTCCAGCAGATGCTTTGTGTCAGTAAAAACCAAACTTTCTTTGTATCTTTCATAAAGTCAAACACTGGAAGACGGACGGCATCAGCCACACCACCTACAACCCAGAGGGCAGGCTCGTGTCCTTCAGCCTGGACACCTTCGGCCCCATCACTTTGATCCAGGACACGCACATCAACATGCCCTTCCAGTACTGGGAACTCGTGCCCCTCGACCTGAACCAGGCGCTTTTCACTGTGAAGACAGTGTTTGCCAAGATTCAGATCCACATCAAGGTACGTGACCCCGAGACCCCCCCGTATCAGGAAGCTTCTGGGGGTACCGGTGAGGGCAGGAGGTCCCACATGCCGCGTTATGCCCTCAAACGTCCAATACGTACATTTCAATTTTACCTTGTGCTCTCATGCTAGGCGAAGCGTTAATGGGCAATGGCCCGGGGGAAGGGGGACTCCGTGCTCTTGTTTTATTGGGTTTGGGGGCTCTGCTGAAGTAGCCAAGACTAGGTCAGTGAGGGAAGCCGCCAGCCACTGTCCGGGCAGTGGTTTCCAGAGTTGGTCATCCACTTTGCAAGACGCTCCTGGTCTTTGCCCCCGTGCTGGACGCTGCTCTCCAGTGGCATGGCGTTGCAACTCAGCCTGAACCACTGAGGCACCAAGTGGACCTGGTTGCGTAGGGTTGAGGCTGGGAAATGTGATGAAGGGTCTTTGCTGGGGGGTGGGGCAGGGGGCAGGTGTGAGTATGCAAATGAAATGTTCTAAAACTGATTTACAATGATATTTTTAGCACATGGTAAAGTTATAAATCAATCATTGAACGTGTCCTTGAAATGCTGAAATGAGTGGATTTTAGGGTGTCTGAGAGGGACCTCACTCTAGTCGCTTCAAGGCTGGAGAGACAGAGGGCTTAAGGTGCTGACTGCCTTCAATCTCCTGGTTCTGCTCTGCCCTGCAAGCATCTCTGGGAGTGAGCCCTCACCAGAGCCAAGCGTAGGCCCTGAGTGCAGTGGGCCGTTGTCCCCCAACTCAGCAAAACAACGAAAGAGCCTGAAATTCCTTGTGAATGTGCAGGTTCACCAGACTGTCAGATTTTGCTTTTAAAACCACACCATGGGCTGGAGGATAGTACAGTGGGTAGGGCATTTTTCTTGCACGCAGCCAACCCAGGTTCAATCCCCAGCATCCCTTCTGGTCCCCTGCACACCCCCAGAGATAATTCCTGAGTGCAGAGCCAGAAGTAACCCCTGAGCATCATCAGGTGTGACCCAAAAAGCAAACAAAACAAAACAAAACAAAACAAAAAACCCACACCAGAGAGGTGAAATCACCTCGACACCTTCCATCAGCCCCTTGCAAACCTTTAAACTCAACAATAATTTTATATTGTTAAGTTCAAACATGATGATTTTTCTTACAACTAAAATTTGAACATCCAAGCGTGATTCTTAAAAGTTATCACCTGAGGGGCTGGAGCAATAATACAGCCTGTACATCACTTGCCTTGCAACAAAGCCAACCTGGGTTTGACCCCCAGCACCCCATATGGTCCCCTGAACCCGTCTGGAGAGACTCCTGACTGCAGAGCCAGGAATAAACCCTGAGCACGATTGCCTGTGACTCCCATCTCCCGCCCCCCACCCCCTGCTGCCTAGCAAATAGCTGTTGTAATTCGATAGAATTTCATGGTCACGGTCAAGGTCCTGGTCCTCCTGTTGTTCATCGATTTGCTCGAGTGGGCCCAGTAACGTCTCCATCATGAGACTTGTTGTTAACTGTGTTTGGCATATCGAGTATGTCATGGGGAGCTTGCCAGGCTCTGCTGTGCGGGCGAGATACTCTTGGTAGCTTGCCGGGCTCTCCGAGAGGGACAAAGGGATCGAACCCGGGTCAGCCATGTTGGCTGCTTGCAAGGCAAATGCCCTACCCGCTGTGCTATCGCTGCATCCCATTCGATAGAATGTGAGTAGAAAATATTCCAAGCGCCTACAATGAAATGGTCCAGGGAGATGCTTTATTTATTTTTTTCTTTTTTGGGGGGGAGTGGGGCTTTTTGGCTTTTTGGGTCACACCAGCAATGCACAGGGGTTACTCCTGGCTCTGCACTCAGGAATTACTCCTGACAGTGCTTGGGGAACCATATGGGATGCTGGGAATCGAACCCAGGTTGGCCGCGTGCAAGGCGAGCGCCCTCCCCGCTGTGCTATCGCTCCAGCCCCCAGGGAGATGCTTTAGTTCGCCTCTTTGCTTGAAACCCCAAGGAGGAAACCGCTCGAGTTCGGGGCAGACTTGGTGCCGGAACTTTCAGACCAGGCCTGCCCCAGAATGATAATGAGTTTCTCTGACTCATAGAAAAACCTTCTTTTCTGAAAACTAGGACAACCTCTGTCTGTTAGCGTCCCTCAACTTACATAACAACCAGGACTTCACTTTCCTAGAAGGAAAATGGATGACGCCCATTTCTTTCATTCTTGCCTTAAAAAAAGCCGGACTGAACATTTTCCCCTCTGGACACTCTCACTTCTACGTCCTTATAAACTATAAGGTAAGCGTGACCCCCACCCCGAGTGTGCTGCGCCTTCAGAGGCGAGGAGAGGACGCCTCTGACTCTGCGGACAGCTTACACTGTCCTTCTCCGGTCAGCCCAGGCTTCGAGGGGAGGGAGGGAAACAAGAGGCGAGACCCCACATCAGGGCCCCTCAGCTGCACCGTGGGGCCCCAGAGAGTGGGCCTAGGGTGGGCCTGAAGTCGGGAGTTCCAGTCACCGAGGGAACCATCTCCCCGTTCCCCCTTCTCCCACGTTAGACAGCTTCGCGGTTTCTTAAGACGCTGGTGACTCAGCATGTCCCCAAACACAGCAGCTCAGGCCACAGGAGGAGCAGAGAAATCCCACGGCCTCTGGGTCCTTTTTTTTTTCTTCTGATTTTTGGGTCACACCCAGTGATGCTCAGGGGTTACTCCTGGCTCTGCACTCTGGAATGACTCGTGGGAGTGCTTGGGGGACTATATGGGATGCTGGGAATTGAACCCAGGTCAGCCGCGTGCAAGGCAAACGCCCTCCCCATTGTACTATGGCTCTGGCTTGGCCTTTGGGTCTTGGTGAGCTGCCACTGCTGCCTGTGGCCCTTTGGGCTTCTGCTCACTGACCTGGAGGCGAGAATGTCCCTTAGTCAGCCCTGAGGGTCTAGCACTGAGCCTACTCCCAGAACAGAGCAGAAGCCTTGTAGGCAATTAGGAGGCAAAGGAACCCGACATGACTCTGAACTTTAAGAGGCGTGTTGAGTTGGGAGGTCAGATATGTTTTTAAAATTCCAGAAAATGGCAGTGCAGGTAAGAGGCCCAAAAGACTCTTGAAAAATCATTGATGAGAATGGACTTGGGGGAGGGAGGGACTAGCTGGGAGGGGCTGGAGCCATAGCACAGTGGGGTGGGTGTTTGCCTTGCACGCGGCCCACCCGGGTTCGATTCCCAGCATCCCATATGGTTTCCCCAAGCGCTACCGGGAGTATTTCCTGAGTTCAGAGCCAGGAGTAACCCCTGAGCATAGCCGGGTGTGACCCAAAAAGCAAATAAATAAATAAATAAATAAATAAATAAATAAAGTGCTCTATGAGGAACTGGAGCGATTGTCTAGCGGGGAGGGCACTCGCCTAGCATACAGCCAACCTAAGTTTGATTCCCGCACCCCATATGGTCCCCTGAAACCACCAGGAGTGATCCCTGAGCGCAGAGCCAGGAGTAAGCCCCAAGCACTGCCGGTGCAGCCCCAAAAAACCAAAATTAAAAAAATAAATTTTTTACGTGCTGTACTAATGCTGTGTGTCAGGTCATGCTCCTCCTCCAGAAGCCTTGGCTCACTCTCACGCTGTTGTGGCCCCTTCCTGTGCCTTGTTCCAGGACGCCCTGGCGAATGACCAGTTCCTGGGGGCTTACACTCTCATCTGGAAGGCTGAGAGGCACCACGCGGCCATGTGTCTGGGGACTCAGGCCCCACAGACCCAAGGGAAGCCCCTAAGAGGGCACAAGGCGCCACCACAAAGGGAGCGAGGTCCGCGTGTGGCTGGCAGGGGCCCGGTGAGGACCCCGGTGATCTGCCCTGGGGGCTGCAAACAGACCCTGGAGAAGCCGGGTGGAGAGAGCAGCGGGCAAGGGGCCACAGAGCAAGTCTGTCTGCTTTGGGCTTGGCCTTTGGTTTGGGGGCCACACTGGGCAGTGCTCAGGGCTTGCTCCTGGCTTTGTGCTCATGGGTCACCCCTGGTAGGATTTGGGGATTTGGGGTGTCGGGGATCAAATCCACATGCAGGGCGAGTACCTTACCTGCTGTGCTGTCTCTCTGCCCCTATGTGCTTCACTCTGGCAGAGTCCCATGGTGGAGATGAAGACTTACCAACAAATGGCCCTGCTGAGTTCTGCCTTCGCGTTCGGCTGGAGCAGATGGAATATACACAGTGACTCCAGAAAAGTTATATTTAAGGTATCGTATGCACTGTAGCACTGTCCTCCGGTTGTTCATCGATTTGCTCGAGCGGGCCCAGTAACGTCTCCGTTGTGAGACTTGTTACTGTGTTTGGCTTATCGAATACGTCACGGGGAGCTTGCCAGGCTCTGCCGTGCGGGCGAGATACTCTCGGTAGCTTGCCGGGCTCTCCGAGAGGGGCGGAGGAATCAAACTTAGGTAGGCCATGTTGGCCGCTTGCAAGGCAAATGCCCTACCCACTGTGCTATCGCTCAAAAAAAAAAAAACCCAAATCCCCAAAGTGACTTTGTCCTCCATGCAAAAGTAAGGGACTCAGAAGCTAGATGCAACCAATCATGGTTTTCCTCTTAAAGTGAGGTGCGGGGGGAGGGGGGGGGCAGTGGGAGGATATTATTCAAGACGGAGCTCTGAGCCCTCGCACCCGAGGAAGCTTCTTCCACCACCACCAAGTCAGCCCAGAGTCATCCTCCTGCCCTCCGTGGGTCCAGGACTCAAACCCTCTCCCAGGCTCTTCCACTCCACTGTAAGGAGGTGCCTTGGCATGTCCTAATTGCTGGCCGAGAGTGTTTGAGTGAGTCTAAACAAGTATTTTTTTTAACCTAGTGTTAGTATCCTCTGCCTGAATACATGCTCCTTTTTTTTTTTTTATTCTTTTTGGATCATACCTGGAAATGCACAGGGGTTCCTCCTGGCTCTGCACTCAGGAATCACTCCTGGCGGTGCTCGGGGGACCATATGGGATGCTGGGAATCGAACCCCTAGTGCAAGGCAAATGCCCTACCTACTGTGCTATCGCTCCAGCCCCATCTCTCTTCCCCTCTCCCCCACCCCGCTCTCTGAGGAATCTAAGCTTCTTACAGATAATCAGTCAGCTGCTTGCCTTTTTGCTCTGGGCCCAGTACCTAAAGCAGGAAAGTCCTTTGGATAAACTGAACACACTGGGCTCAGCTCCATGCCCAAATGGGACCCAAAGCATGCTTCCTTTGGAGAGGCCCTGGCCTCCAGCTGGGCCTGGGTTCTGGGGTCCAGCATATAGCCCCCTGGGTAAAAAACGCACCGGCTTCCTGCCATGTACCGGCCCTCAGCACTTCTCAGCCTTCATCCCCTTCACCCTCTTCTCATGCAATAATCCTGGGGCACCCCGGGGCGGCCTCAAGGCCCACACCTTCCTCCTGTCAGAGTCATGCTCCCTCTGAGTGCCGGCCCCTCCTCCCTCCCCTCAGGCCAGGGAGCACATCCCCGAGGAGGAATCGATCCAGGACATCGACTGCATGATCATCATGTTCACGGGTGACCGCGCCCAGAGGCTGCACATCAGCGAGTACAGCGAGGACTTCTCGGAGCAGCCCCAGGAGGGCTCGGAGTTCCACTCGACCCTGTACCACATGATCACGGGCGTGGCCTCGCCCGCTGCCCTGGACAACATCAGGAACTCCAGCACCCTGTTCGTGGACACCGTTTGCTACATGCTGCTGTCCACTCGCCCACTCAGCTACTCTTAGTCCCGGCGGGCGGCCCCAGCGGGGAGGCTCAGCCCTGCACCAACTCCAGGTGTTGCCAAAGAATGTGGCGAGGGAGATTAAAGCCATCTTACCGGCGCTCTCATACTATTTTTATTTCTATAAAAGTTTAAAAACAATAATCTCTCTCCGCCGAGAGGCCCGCAGGCAGGCAGGGCCTTCCCGGGGCGGGTGTGCTGGGAGGGGACCCGGCAGAGGGACAGTGATGGACCACAGGGGCCGGGGCGGGGGTGGAGGGAGACCTTAAGGACCAGGGTCCGCGCTGCCCTCACACGGGGGGCGGCCCCTGGGGCTGGAGTCTTGTAAACGGCCACAGGAGATGCTCCAGAGACATCCACGAGTCCCCGTCCTGCGTGGGAGCGGCGTCCACGGATTTCTGGAAGAACCGGCCCATCAGGAAGCTGACCAGAGCTGCAAACAGGACGATGAGGGCCACGGAGAGCCAGGGGGCCTTGGCGTTGCAGACGGAAGTCTTGAGCTGGGCCGCCCAGGACGTGAGCCTGTCCTGGCTGGAGACACGCACAAGCTCAGAGTCGGCTCCGTGGTCCCTGCACCTGCCACCACCCCCGACCCCCGCCGCCCGGCGTTTAGAAAGTAAGAAGCCACATGCCGTGGCGAGACTGTGAGAAGGTGCCCTTTAGCCCCGACCCAGAAGCCTTTCTCGCGCTTTCAACCAGTTCTGGTGGCTTATCTTCCTAGAACAAGTAAAAGCATGACGAACTGCCACAGAAGCTATTTTTAAGTGGCTCCGCCTAACACCAGTGCTGTGGTCTGTGTTAATTAAGCCACAGCCGGTGTGCCCCCCCCCCCCAGGGGATCCGTATCAGCATTCACCAGCATCCCCTGTTAATCATGACAGCAAAGCATTGGCTGAGATACTGCAGGAGCAGGCGAGGAGGTGTGTGTCCCAAGCAGGGCTCAGGACGGGCCACTCCTGTGGTTCTCAGGCCCAGCAGCGCTGGGACGAACTGTGGAGGGGGCCTCAGACCCTCCGCACCCAGGCGAACACTCCAGCCCTGAGCTGTGCTCCCCCCTACCCAGTCCTACGGACAACCCAGGCTTTCCTCAACCTCGTTTCACAGGTGGAACAGTCAGGCCTTGAAAGCAAGGACCTTTATCCAGGTCACCCAGGCACTCAGTGGGGACTGGAGCCAGGGGACTCGGTCCTGGAGCCAGGTGACCACCCAGAATGCACTTCCTACAAGAGAGGGTGAGGAGTGAGCCCTGCAGGCCACGGGAGGCTGTGCCCACCTCCAGGCATCTAGACTGCTGCCCCTGCCTCTCCCCTGCCCGGCACACAGACCACTCACACGGCCCACACATCCCACTTGGGCGGGTCATGTCTCTTCTCGCCAAGACTTGGCCTTCTGTCTCCTTCTGCAGCTTCTTCTCCGGGTGGTTCGGGGTCATCTTTAAGTCTATAAAGAACGGACTGTTTAGGAACGTTGGAAAACAAGGACGAGCTGTTTCTACAGAACAGGGTAAGTGTTACTGTATCCCCAACAAGCTGTTTCTATAGAACAGGATTCAGTGTTACTGTATCCCTGATGAGCTGTTTCTGTCAACAGGGGTAAGTGTTACTGTACTCCTGACAAGGCTTGCTATATGTTTGTGTTGCTTTCCAAAGAGTGGATAAAAGTCTTGGAAGCTGAATCACCAAAATTTACATTTAACCGTCTTTTGGAACTTAGGTCTAAAAAGTCACTTTCTCTGCTTAGAAATACAGTGATTGTTGCAGAAATTGGGGTACTAGAAGCTGGGGAGAGATGTGTTTCCAGCCCAGGCTACAGCCCCCAGGGCTATTTCCTGAACACAGAAGGGAATGATGTGTATGAGGTACATGGGGACTCTGTGTGATTGAAACATGCGGGGCCACGCCCTCTGCAGGTGGGGCCATGTCCTCTGCCTGTAGAGCCACGCCCTCTTCAGATAGAGCCCCGCCCTCTGCAAGAAGAGCCCCACCTGTGCAGGTAAGGTCTCGCCCCTGTAATTGGAGCTCCGCCCTCTGCAAGTAGAGTCCCGCCCACTGCAGGTGAGGCCCCGCCCTCTGCAAGTAGAGTCCCGCCCACTGCAGGTGAGGCCCCGCCCTCTGCAAGTAGAGTCCCGCCCACTGCAGGCGAGGCCCCGCCCTCTGTAGGTAGAGTCCCGCCCACTGCAGGTATGGCCCCGCCCTCTTCAGGTAGAGCCCTGACCACTAAACAGGTGAGGCCCCGTCCGGCTGCTCCCTGCTTTGGAGAAGTCCTTTCATCTGGAGCCAGGGGCCGGGGGCCACTATGTAGCTGTGCCTCCCATGCTCTCTGTGGGAACAGTGCACGGGCACCCACCGTTCCCTTTGACTTGGGTGCCCTGGTGCCCTTTCCATCCACCCCTGGGAACCAGCTGCCCAGGCCCGGCCAACTTCTGGGCGTGTTTCTAAGGGCAGGGCTAGAACCTGAAGTTCTCAGGGCTAACGTTCTCCAGAGCCCGCACAAGCCCAGAGCGATTCCCACCCACCCGGCTCCACCTACCTGAGTTCGCCCTTTTCTTCCTCAGCATCGGCCCAGGAGTAGGTGCTGATGAATCGCTGCAGTGAGGGGCGGTGTTCGCTCTGCTTGGACCCCAAAATGCGCCTAAGTAAAGATCACAGCCACCGTCACATCACAAGCACCCCTGCCCGGTAGCAGATCCCTTTCCTCCTACTGAGATCTACACAAAACATACTGAGTTCTACAGATGACTGGTTAAAGAAACTTTGGTACATCTACACAATGAAGTACTACGTAGCTGTTAGAAAGATGAAGTCATGAAATTTACATACAAGTATCATGTTAAGCGAAATGAGTCAGAAAGAGAGGGACAGACATAGAAAGATTGCATTCATCTGGGGAACATAAAGTAGCAAAATAGGAGACTAACACCGAAGAGTGGCCGAGATTAGTACCAGGAATTTTGCTCCATGACTTGGAGGCCACCCACACAGGCTAGGGGGAAAGGGAGCTCAGATAGAGAAGGGAGCACCAAATAAAGAATGTTGGGAGGATCCTCCCAGGATGGGAGAAGCATGCTGAATGTAGACTATGGACCAAACATAATTGCCACTCAATGCCTCTTTTGCAGACCACAACACCCAAGAGGAGAGAGAGAACAAAAGGGAATGCCCTGCCACAGAGGCAGGGTGGGATGGGGGGATGGGGGGTGGGAGGGATGCTGGGACCCGTGGTGGTGGGAAATGGGCACTGGTGGAGGGATGGGTATTTGATCATTGTATAATTGAAACCCAAGCACAAAATTTGTAAGTCTACAACTGTGCTTCATGGTGTCTCACTAATAAAAAAAAATACCAAGTTCTAAAGAGGGGACCGTAGGGGCAGTGCGGGGAGTGGGGGGGGGCATGTGCCTTGCATGAGGCAGACCCGGATTTGATCCCCAGCATCCCATCTGGTCCCCCAGGCACTGCCAGGAGTAGTTCCCGAGCGCAGAGCCAGGAGTAACCCCTGAGCATTGCCAGGTGTGGCTCCAAAACAAATCTCATGAATGTACTCTGGATTCTGATTTTTGTCCTTGGCCCAGGCGCGGTAATACTTGCTTCATCCTTCCGGAACACCTTCCGAAACACCTCCTGGTCATGTACAAATCAAACACGACTACCACTTGCTCCATGTCATGTATTTGCTTTCGCCTGCTTGGAACCCAGGGAAGGTTCTCTGTGAGTTGCAGGGACGTGAGACTCACCAGCTGCTCGACCTCCGGCCAAATCGGTCATTGCCCTCCATCCCGGCCACCTTCAAGACGCAGGTGTGAAGGAAACAAGAGAACAGAGCTGGAGTGAGCGTGCTATTTGATCAGCGGACAACAAATTTGCTTTCTGGCGAAGGATACTCGCGACTCTGCTTACCGTCCCCACGCTGCCAATGCCCCTGGGTAAAGTGGCAATGGTCACTCTCCGGAGAGAAGAGGGCTGTCCGGGGGCAGAGAGAGACATTGAGATCCTCCTCGGTTCCCGCCGTCTGTCAGACTCGCTGTCCTGACACCCAGGCACGGGGCCTTGGATGCCTTAAACAGGAGACCCGCTTTATCTTTGGGGGGAGCCTCAGGGGACCCCGGGGCCACTCCTGGTGAATTGGATGCCTGGGTGCCAAAGTGATGGTTCAATGCTCAGGTCCTGAAATTCGGTGCTGCCTGGGCATAGTAAAACTGTGAATCGTACTGGGGGCCATGTAGGTGTTGGGGATGGAACTTGGGGGGCTGCAGAACTCCTGGTTCACATCCAGAGCCCTTGCTCTAGTAAACTTTTTTTTTCTTTGGCTTTTTGGGTCACACCCAGCGATGCTCAGGGGTTCCTCCTGGCTCTGCACTCAGGAATCACTCCTGGCGGTGCTTGAGGGACCATATGGGATGCCGGGGATCGAACCTCCGTCGGCTGCATTCAAGGCAAACGCCCTCCCCGCTGTACTATCCATTCAGCCCCGAGTAATCTTATTTTTCAAAGGCCTCATTACTGCAAAATTTCTGTCCGGAAGTAGTCAACAAATCCAGTTAACCTTTCCCAGCATGGGATGACCATGAATTTGTGCCCATCAAATAAGGAATATAAGGTCTCAACTTCATTCGCTACTTCAATAGCTTTATTCAACTACTGTTAGGTTTGGCTAACAGTGGCGCTGAAGGTTGTCTCTCGGTGTTAAACCACTGGTATCCACTCTGAGGAGTTTATGATCTTTGCTCTTATTAATTTTGTTCCTATTTCCGGGAGAAAAATCTTTTCCTAGTTAACGGCAGCACGAGCATTTTTCCGTAACATTTTTATTCATTAACGTGTTCCCTAACATTTTCATTCCTGGCAGCCTGGAGCCTCACGGTTAATGCGGCCAAATTGATTTGTCTTTTCTCTTCTGCCACCAATTAAGCTTAGATTTCCCTCCAGCACAAGAAGAAATAACCAGGTGGTTGTGCTTATACTTCTCTCCGCCTCAATTTTTCCCCCTTTTAATACATTCAAGGATCAGTCCCTGGCCAGGCCAGGAACAGCCGCCACCGAGCACAGAGCCCTTGCAGGCACTGCTTGTGGCCCCAAACAAAACACATAAGGATGAACATGATTTTTGTTTGTTTGATTCTCCTGTGTCAGCCCCAGCAGCGCTTGGCATACTCTGAATTCTGTGCATGGGGTTCGCTCCGGAAGGTGCTTGGGTGACCTTGTGGTTCTAAGGATCACACCCGGGGCTCCCACAAGCAAACCGTGCATCCCAGCTCCGGGCTGTCTCCCTGGCCTGTGTAGGTTCTGAGGAATAGATGTGTTTATACAGCTGCCTTGATTTTTGCACCGGGAAGTGCCATATTATTATCAGTTCAAGTAAGTTTTACTTCAGGAAACAAATATCTTAAGTGTAGGGAAGATTTTATGTGAATCTTTTTAAAAAAAAAACCATCATCCCTAATTTGATTCTTAGGTTGAACATCAAAAATAACATACTGGAGGGTCAGTGAGACAGAACCGCAGATAAGGCTCTTGCCTTGTACACACTGATCCAGTTTCTATTCCTGAGCACAGAGCCACGAGTAAGCCCTGAGTACTACCAGGTGTGCCCCCCCAACCAAGATTAACAATAAATAGCATATTGGACTGGCATTAGCACATACCCTGCATTCACTCAAGTGAGTTTCCGCTCCAGCACTGCGTGGCCTCCTGAGCATGGCCGGGAGTGACCTAGAGTCCCCTGACCCCCCCTGAGTTTGCCCCTGGCAGACCTCAAGACCACAAGGATTGAGCATTACCACACCCTCAGGCCTGAGAACTGACCTGTGTGGTTGGCTAAATATCACCAGGAATGACCCTGGGGACCCCTAAGCACCACTTGGGAGCCCCCCCCCCCCAAACAACAACAGCAATAGCAAGGACACTGTAGACCAAGAGCCCTGGGTTTGATGAGGGTTCCACTCCTACGGGATCACAACTGCTTAAATTCTGCGGATGTGACTGTGCCCATCTGTGGAAAAAGGGCGGGATGGAATGATTTGAAAGTCGCTCACTCAGATCCCACGTAGAAATTCTACGAGAGCCTCATTTTCAACTTGATGCCAAGGCTGCTGGCTGCCTTTCAGCATCCTGTTCTCCCACTTCTTGTTGAGTAATTACAAATCCTTAGGGCTAGAGCAATAGCACAGCGGTAGGGCGTTTGCCTTGCACGTGGCGAGCCTGGCTGACCCGGGTTCGATTCCTCCGCCCCCTTGGAGACCCCGGCAAACTACCGAGAATTATCTTGCCCGCATGGCAAAGCCTGGCAAGCTCCCTGTGACATATTCGGTATGCCAAACGCAGTAAGAAGTGTCACAATGGAAATGCTACTGGGCCTGCTCAAGCAAATCAATGAACAATGGGAGGACAGTGACAGTGACAGGGTTTACCCAAACTTTCTAGAATAAAAACTGTATTTCCCTAGTTTTATTTCTGACCAGAGGAGAAAAAGGAAAATGTTACATGAGACTTCTAGGAAGTGCAGAGAGAGAAACGGAGGGAGAGAGGGAGGAAGGGAGGAAGGGAGGGGGGAGGAAGGGAGGGAGAGAGACAGAGAAACAGAGAGAGACAGAGATAGAGAGACAGAGACCCAGAGAGAGATGAGAGAGAGAGAGAGAGATGAGAGAGACAGAGAGAATGCAGAGCTGTTTCTTCTCTTTTCCCTGGGCTGTGACCCTGTGTGATGAGGCTGGGGGCTGAAAGCTTAAGCGTGGGGGAATGTTCTCACGGGTTCTGCAAAGCTGCCCTCACTGTCCGGCTGCCTCTGTCCAGGTCTGGTGGGGAGAGGAAGCCAGTCTTGACCCCCTCTCTCCCTGTTCAGTAATTTTATTTGACATGCAATACGGCAGGGATTCTGCAGGCCCACACTTATAAACACGCTTGCATGCCCGCGTTTCCCCCGCAGAGCCGAGCCGAGCTCTGAGTGACGGCGAAGTCGCCTCTCCTGGATCATTGGATCCAAACGTGCTACGCGGATTAGCAGTTACCTTGGAGTTTAGGGAAGACGAACGCTTTTTAAGCTGGCAGTCTTCTAAAGAGAAAGAAAAACATTTGCACGGATTAGGGCCACATCCCACAGGGAAGAAGCTAACGTTGCCTTTGCGGGCTGGGGGCCGCACCGCAGGGAGTGAGTCTCACCCCACAGTGCTCCAACCCAGCCAGTTCCCAGGCCTGTTATCAGACTATTTCCAGCTTTAGGTTAAGATACTTTGGATGGCGTCTTATGTCTCTCTGCATGCTAAACCCTCTAAACTCACTGCACCGGGATTATTTCTTAGAGGAACGCAAAGCCAATGAGTGCGGTCACTCCACTGGCCAGTGGGAGGCTGCTCAGCTCACCTCAGTGAGTCCAGTTAAGACTTTCATTCTTGGGGCCAGAGCGACAGTCCCGTGGGGACGGCGTTTGCCTTGCACGGGCTGACCGACCCGGGTTCAATTCCCAGCATCCCATATGGTCCCCCAAGCACCACCAGGAGTAATTCCTGAGTGCAGAGCCAGGAAGAACCCCTGAGCACTGCCAGGGATGGCCCCCAAAACCAAAATAAATAAAAGACATTTATTCTCATCTCAGCAAGCTAAATAGGGCTGCAGGTCATTTCTGAAAATCCCTTGTCTTCCAACCTGTTTTTCAGCTGATGTGTTACTTGTGTTCATCCTAGTAACACTAAGATCCTGTTTTTGTTTGTTTGTTTGTTTTAAAGCAATAGTACAGCAGTAGGGCGTTTGCCTTGCACACAGTCAGCCCGGCAGAGCCAGGTTCAATTCCTCTGCCCCTCTCTCAGAAAGCCCGGCAAGCTCTCAAGAGTATCTCGCTCGCACAGCAAAGCCTGGCAAGCTCCCCGTGACGTATTCAATATGCCAAACACAGTAACAACAAGTCTCACAATGGAGACGTTACGGCACCCGCTCGAGCAAATCGATGAACAACGGGAGGACAGTGACAGTTTTTTTTTTAATATAACCTGAACCTAAGGCTCATTCTATTTGGGGGGGAGGGGGAGGGAGTGGGAGTCACCTGCAACAATGAGGTGCTGAGCCTGGCTCTGTGCTTGGGGGAGCACCCGGGAGGTGCTTGGGGGACCCTATGTGGCCCCAGGGTACGAACCAGAGTGGGCTGCGTGCAAGGCAAGCTCCCTACCCACTGTACGATCCTGCCCCGTGCGCAGTGCTTCGTCTGAAGACACCAGAGAAACGAGGCCGAGTTAGAGACCCGCGGGCGCTCTCCCTTTCCTCACCTTCGTTTTCCAGAGGGTTGAACGACCTTTCGTTTCGCAGGAGGACCTGCTTGAGCTCCTCCAGCTCGGAGTGCTCCTTGGCGTACATCCTCTTGAGGTTCTCCACGTGCTGGATCATCACTTCCACGGCCTTGCTGACCCGGCTCTCCTGGAGAGGGAGCAAAAAACGGTTGTCCGTGGACGTGCCTCCTGCGGTGCCCACCGCAAAGAGGGCGCTCACAGATCCCCGCTGCCCCCGCGGGACACCCAATGACAAAGAGGCCTGGGACACACGCGTGGACCCAGAGGGAAGCAGGGCAGAAGAGGGGAGGGTGGGGACAGGATTCTGGCTAGTCGGAGCTCTGGTGACGAATGGCTGCAAGGCTAATCCCTGGGCAGTGGGTTTGCTGCCCCCAAAACTCCAAAGACTCTGCGACCTGGGGCTCCTCTGGGAGCCGACAGGGAAGCAGCGAAAACGCTTTTACAAATCTGGGTCAAAGGCATGTTGGCTCCTTTTCAGGCCAGCCAGGCGACTCTCTCTCTGCCGTGCTGGTGTACGGTGAGTGCTGGGTTCTAGAGAAATGGAAGCTGGTCCGTGGGCTGGGATAGGGATGCGGTCGGCGAGTGGCCGTGCAGACAGGGACAGACAGAAGCAGCCTGTCCGCTTTGGAATCCGGGGCTGGAGCGACGGGATAGCAGGGAGGGCACTGGCCTTGCACACGGCTGACCCCACTTCAATCCCTGGAGCCCCATCTGTTTTTCCTGAGCCTGCCAGGAATGATCCCTGAGCACAGAATCAGGAGAAAGCCCTGAGTACCACCGGGTGTAGCCCTCAAACAAACGGGAACAAGGAATCCGTCATCTGGGCCCATATCCCAGCCGTCACATCCTCCAGTTCCCGGACACGGTGAATGTCGCTTTCACACTCAAGGCCAGGAGGCCGGGAAGTTTCCTCTGGGACATGAACCATCCAAAAATGAAAGCCCTAAAACAATCAAACTGTTTTTTTTTAATTTGCTTTTTTGGGTCACACCCGGTGATGCACAGGGGTTATTCCTGGCTCTGCACTTTGGAATTGTACCTGGTGGTGCTCAGAGGACCATATGGGATGCTGGGAATCGAACCCGGGTCAGCCGTGTGCAAGGCAAACGCCCTCCCACTGTACTATCGCCCCAGCCCCCAAACGATCAACCTTGAAGCTGCCCCCAGTGAAAGAGCCGGGCACAGGCTCGGAGTTGGAGGCACACAGTCCCTGTCACTCCCCGCTGCGGGAGCAGAAAATCCAAACCCAGAAGCACAAAGAAAACGGAGGGCAAAGTCAAGAGGAGCCGCCCCGGGTTCCCAGGGTGTCTGCAGAGGCAAACAGCTGTGGAGTAACAGCTGTCTGAACCCGAGCCAGAACTCAGACGTGGGAGTGTGGGAGAGCAGGATGGGAGGGGGTCGAGTTTGTGGGGCTCTCTCTGAAGTTAGGGCGGGAACGACATAAAAAGACACAGAAAGGAGCAAGTCCAGGAGAGCCAATATCCAAAGAAGACGAATTTCAGGAAAGTATCCGGCATTTCAGAAAAGAGGCCAGAGAGCACAGGGTTAAGGAGCTTGCCTTGCACGTGGCTGACCCAGGTGCCACCCCAGCACCCCTGAGCCCTGCCAGGAGTAATCCCTGAGCACAGAGCTAGGAGTAATCCCTGAGCACTGTCAAGTATAGCTCTACCAAAAAAAAGCGCTAAATGTAAAACAGAAAATAATTCAAGAATATATTAGCATCTTGTGCTCACTTTGGCAGCACATATACTAAAACTGGAACAATACAGAGAAGATTAGCATGGCCCCTGCGCAAGGATGACACGCAAATTCGTGAAGCATTCCATATTTTTAGCACAAAAATTTGTAAGTCTACAACTGTACCTCATGGTGTCTCACTAATAAAAGTTTTTTTAAAAAAGAATATATTAGCATCTTAAAAACATCACTCAAGGGGCTAGAGCGATAGTACAGCAGGCAGGGCATTTGCCTTGCACACGGCTGAGCTGGGTTCGATTCCCAGCATCCCCCGAGCACCACCAGGAGTGATTCCTGAGTGCAAGGCCAGGAGTAACCCCTGAGCATCGCGGGGTGTGGGCTAGGGCTGGAGCGATAGCACAGCAGGTAAGGCGTTTGCCTTGCACGCAGCTGACATGGCCGATCCAGGTTCTATTTCTCCACCCCTCTCAGAGAGCCCAGTAAGCTACCTCGCCCGCACGGCAAAGCCTGGCAAGCTCCCCGTGATGTATTCGATATGCCAAACACAGTAGCAATAAGTCTCACAATTTGTTGTGAGACATTACTGGTGCCCGTTCAAGCAGATAGATGAACAACAGGAGGACAGTGTGACCCAAAAAGAAAAAAAGAAATTACTCAATTAAAAAAAATTAAAAATCCACTCAGTGGGTGATAATCCACCTGGGGAAGAAGGGAGAAAATAGGGAAAAAAAGGTCAAGAATCAGAATGGCTTCAGATTTTGATGGCAACCCTAGAAGTTTAGCAAAAAGGAAGCAAAGCAAGTAAGGTGCTCCAGGAAACGTCTCTTGCCTGGATCCAGCCCGGGTCGCCACTGAGCATGGCCCTGAAGACTATTCCAGAAACATCTCAAAAGGGCTCCCTCCTGCACTTTCCCCCTCAGGAAGTTCCTGGGTGAGAATTTCCACCACAATTGGGGGGGGGGGAGGAGGAGGGACGAGGGAAGCACAAGTGACAGGAGTGTCCACGTAAGCGTGTCCGAGATGGTCCGAGAAGAATCCGATGCTTAGTACTGCGGGACAGGGGCCGTCGGGAGAGGCTGAAAGTGGTGCAGAGATACGTAAATCGCCACCACGCAAATGACAATCCTGGCAAAACACAGTGACGAAACGCCGGATGAATTTGTGCAAAGAAGCCAACGCTGTCCCTGGTGCCGTGTCTGCTCTGGACGCCCTGGGCGTGGCCCTGGCCACACCTCCGAGGCTGCTGTGGTGTCACCCTCACTCTGTTCCCCTCAGGGCCTAGGACCTTCATTCCATGATCACAGCTCCTCGACAGCCTCAGCAACACCAGTTTCCTTCTTTACGCCATCCATCCCTGGACTGACACGGTGCCACCTTACTAGCTGGGTTTGTAAAATGATCAAGCATCTTGTCGTGTATTTGGAGATCTTCCTTGGGAAAACGTCCAACCAAGCACCAGGCCCGTTGGCTTTGTCTTTCTGTTGTTCAGTTGCCGGGTCCTTCTCCATAATCCCCCCACTCTCCCTCGGCAGGGGGCAGGTTCTCTTCACTTTCTAGAGGGTCCTTGGCAGACAGAGCCTTCCCGGCTGACGCCTCTCTCCGCTGCTGGGTTCTGAGCTGGGGGGGTCACGCTCTCTTCAGGCAAGCACTGACCGATCCCTGCTGTGTGTTGGGTGACCAGTGCTCAGGGGCCAGAGCAGTGGGCCCCACCAGGCCCTGCCTTTATGCCATGTTTATTCTGGGGGGAAGTGGGGAGAGAGCAACAGCGGGGGGCGGGGGGTCAGAGGTGCCGTGGGGAGCGCGCCCCTCCAGGCTGTCGGGGAAGTTGGGGGAGGGAGTCTAGTGGGAACAGAGAAGGAAGGGGTCCTGTGATGCGTCAACAGCACGAGGCATGCGGGCAGGGGTTGAGAGGTGGCCTGTTTGGAAGGGTTTGGGTCCTCTGCAAACAGCAGGGAGGGGCTGGAGCGATAGCACAGTGGGGAGGGTGTCTGCCTTGCATGAGGCAGACCCCGGTTCAATTCCCAGCATCCCATATGGTCCCTCCCCACCAGCACTGCCAGGAGTAATTCCTGAGTGCAGAGCCAGGAGTAACCCCTGAGCATCCCTGGGTGTGACCCAAAAGAAAAAAAATAACAACAGGGGAAGCTCTGGAAGACATTTGGGCCAGGGAGTGTTTTGCAGGGATTCCTCCAGCCCCGAGACTGTTGGGGATGTGGGCTGCACTTGGCGCCAGGGAGATCTTCTCAGAAGACCAGAGTGGGGGTTAAGGCCATGGGGGCACCGGAGGCCGGACACGGAGGAGGAAGAGCTCGCGTTGGCTGGGCTGGACCGCTTCCAGGGTGCCAGGCAGAGAGTGGATTTGCACCAGCAGCAAGAGGAGTAGATGCGAGGGCAGGTGCAGGGGCCTGGCCCGGGGCCATGAAGACAGGGTTTGGCTAGGGAAGAAGAGAGAAGGAGGGCGGGCAGACAGGGGTGCACTTCCTGCAAGGACCCTCCAGAACTGACCGCAAGGCACGGAGGGACAGTGGAAGCAGCTCTTTCCTCAGCACTCAGGAAGGGCAGCCTGTTGCTGTGGAAACGCAGGAAACGGGCCTCAGCAACAACCTGATTTTATTGTGCACATCTCCACCCTTAGGGCAGCACCAACATCAGCTTCTAGGAAGCGGTTCAAAGAGGAACTAGGATACTTGTGGGTAACCGACCATCAGACCACAGCAGGAAAATGGCCTCTCAGGAAATACATTGTGACAAGTTTGTTTGGATTTGGAGGGAAACAATGAAAGATTCCCTAACTGCCCTCAAAGGAATTTAAAATTTTTTTCTATGAATAATACAGCGAAGAGGCACACATAGGCTGTTTATTCTCGATGGTGTAGAGTGCAGCAGAGAAACGTTCTAGACTGATCATGTATAGAGGAGTGCTTGCATCATTTGTGATCTATTGAACCAATATAGGATACTAAAAAAATATCATGGTGTACATATTTATAACCACATGGGAATTAATTATGGATGAAAAAAAGTCCATTGCGTGAGTGCTCGAGAAAAGTAGATTTTAGCAATCACAAATTGGTTTTTACTGATTTATTTTCTCATCGTTCTATTTGCTGTTTCTCTCCATTTTGTTGGAGCAAGCCATAGAAAGTGAATTTGCTATGTGTCTAAGAGGGCAGGTTGGGTTGGAAGGAAAACTGGGGACATTGGTGGAGATTAGGTCACACTGGTGGTCATGGGACACTGAATGCCTGAAACAGCTACTGTGAACGACTTTTTAAATCACGGTGATTTAAAATTTAAAGTAAAATTTAAAAGAAAAGAACACCACAAAATTTTTACAATAACTACCACTGGCTAGTGATAGAGATTTTATTTACATTTGTATTTTCAATTTTTTTTCCCGTATTAAAAAGACTGTCTTATACCAAAAGCGTTCCTTTCAAACTTTCTCCTACAAAAAAAAAATCCTTCATCTCCAGGAAAATAAGTGCCTCGGTTAGCGTGACTGGGAGAAACGGGGATCAATTACCTGATTGATGGCCCCGAGCATCTCTGCCCGACTGGCCACCCGCTCCGTGCACTGTCTGAGGAACCCGATGCTCTTCTCCAGCTTCGTGACGATCTCCTGGGCCTGGTGGTCATCTTCACAAAGCGGCGCTAAGGACTGCACAGAGAGTCCGGTCAGCAATTCCCACACCCGCAGAGACACACAGGACAGGACATTGTCAGTGATCTCCAGGGAGGGTGCAAAGCAGCTGCCGGACCCCTAATGAAGGAAGCTGCATAAGGACCCTCTACGCTGCTTGTGCTGTAAACCAAGCAGGCGGCCGCAGTACCTTGTACGGCCAATCTCCACCCTTGCTTCCTCCCCAGATGGGCCCCTCTTCCAAATACATTAAACATGTTTCTTCTCAAAGCAGGAGGCTGGGGTCTGCCTCATGGATGCTCCTTAAGAGGTCACACTTAGGGGGCTGGAGTGATAGCAGGTAAGGTTTTTGCCTTGTATGCTGCCGACCCAGGTTCGATCCCCAGCATCCCATAGGGTCCCCCGAGCACCGCCAGGGGTAATTCCTGAGTACAGAGCCAGGAGTAACCCCTGTGCATCTCCAGGTGTGACCCCTCCCCAAAAAAAAAAAAGAAAAAAAATCTTCATCGAGTTTTGCCGGAGCGATAGCACAGCGGGTAGGGCGTTTGCCTTGCATGCTGCCTATCCAGGTTTGATTCCCAGCATCCCATATGGACCCCAAGCATTGCCAGGAGTAATTCCTGAGTGCATGCGCCAGGAGGAACCCCTGAGCATCACCGGGTGTGACCCAAAAAGCAAAAAAAAATGAGGTTACGCTTAGGGATGGCATTCATGAACTCTGTGAGTTTGAACTTTGAAGAACGGCTGCAAAAATTATGCTGCAGTTTAGATATGGTCCTGATAATTTTACTCGATGTTCCACTGGGGATAGAGTCTGATGTGGCTTGGAGAGGTGGGTGCACTTCTTTGCCGTAAGCCCATTTCTCTCGAGTTTGTGCCCGGATCCCAAATGACGGCTCCCCGGAAGGGGAAACAGCCTTCTCAGCAGAGCAGGGAGGGAGGCAAGAACAGCAAATTTGGATGCCAACAAATGATGGCTTGTTAGGTGTGTGGTCACGAGCCAATGTATTAGACCTGCCCAGATCTAAAATACCAAAAATATTGGTGGGAGGTATCATTATTTTGTATATCATTAAAGAAAAACGTATGTTCTGACAACAAAAACACTGATTGTACATTGTACAGCTATTGTAGGAATGTTTCCAATGCCAATCGTAGTGATTTGCTGTTTCTGATTCCATCACCCAGAGACAGGGATACTACGATAGAAGAAGTAAGCTCTGGAAATGTGTTATCACCTATTAGGTGCCCAACAAGTAGTAGCCACTTCTGAGACAGACGTGTCTGCGGTGTGGCTGGACTCTTGGTCACCTACTGGAAAGGGCATCACTAGACGTGGACTTTACTACCCATGGTTAAACAATCACCTTCACTGGGGAAGGGACAAGGAGATGATGGTTGTTATAGGGAGCTTGCCTTGCACACAGCCGACCTGGGTTCAATCCCTGATACCCTGTGTGATCCCCTGAGCCTGCCAGGAGCAAACCATGAGTATCGAGCAGGAGTAAGCCCTGAGCACTGCTCGGGGTGGTCTAAAAACAAATAAACAAAATTTTAACAGCCAGCAAATTTGTGAGAATGAGGAGTAAGTACAAGGATTAGGGCAATTTCTTTGCATGCAACTAAGCCAACAGTGCATGGGGTTCTTTGAGCACTGCTTAGGATTACTCCTGAGCACAGAAGTGGGAGTAGTCTCTGGTAGTGCTCAGAGACTACTCCCAAATTCACCCCTCCCAAAAAACCAAAAAGACATGATACCAAAAAAATAGGCTAAAATCAGATATGAATAATAAAAAAATGTAAAAATCCTCATAAAATACTAGCAAACGGCTCACTCTTGGAACTCAAGGAAGTTTCAAAGGTGAGAACTGGCCAGTCTAACTCACTGAAGAAAGGGCAAAAATGACCCGATTATTCAAATTGATGTGGAAAAGCATTTAACGAGATTTATTACATCCCATAATTTTAAAAAAGTCATAATAAAACAATGTTTAACTAGAGCTAGAAGGAGCAGGGTAAGCTGATAAGACGGTCTTCAGAGACCCGTGCCACCACTCACCCCTAGGAGCGCCAAGCAGTTGGTGATCTCCTTCTTCAGATTTTCTTCGGCCAGGTCGCGGGCTCTTTCCTCAAGCTTCACTCTTTTCTCCAAAGTGAACCCGTCACACTTAAAGCCCAGAGATAATCTGAGAAACTCGGCCTGTTGTCAAAATAAAACACAGGGGCCGGAGAGATAGTACAATGGGTGGGGAGCTTGCCTTGTGCCTGGCCGACCTGGGTTCAATCCCTGACGCCACACAGGGTCCCCTGAGGCCTGCCAGGAGTGATCCCTGAGTACAGGACTGGGAGTGAGCTCTGAGCACTGCTGGGTGTAGCCCAAATTAAAAAAAAAATAGTAGAAGTAAGGGTGAGAGATAGTGAGCTAGCAGAGTGGGTAAGGCACCTGCCTTGCCTCCAGGGACCTGGGTTTGATCCCTAGCCCCTAGAGAGATCCCTGAGCCCGGCCAGGAGTGACTCCTGGGTGCAGAGCCAGTCTGAGCAACACAGGATGCCCCCTGACACTGCACAGCCACCAAGACAAGAGGCACCAACTGAACGAAAGTGGGGTCTACTGACAGCTGGGTCTGAGAAAACGTTTTTGTTTTTCTCTTCTGTTTTCAGACCATACTTGGTGGCAACATGTGACTCAGAACTCAGGGCTCACCGGGTGGTCTTCAGGGGTCCGTGCAGTGCCAGGGATCCAGCCTGGGTTTTCCACATACAGAACACAAGTCCAGCCCCCCCCACCCCGCCCCCGAAACACCGTCTTCCAAATTAAAGGGGAAAACAGACTCACCTCCACCTCCTTCTCATTCACAGAGGTGCTGCAAGATAAGAAGGGATTTATTGCAATGCAATGCTGTTGGGTAGAAAAAAAAAAAACCCGCTCGCTCGCTCCTGGGAGGGGGACTTACTTGTCACTTGGCTTGAAGTTAACCGACTTGGCAGGGGAGATGGCGGGGTCTGGGGAAAGACAGTGACATGTGTTGTTTGGTTGATCAGGGTCCCAGCTGCCCGCGTGGAATGCCACCCGCCCTCGCCCTTCACAAAGGCACTTTATTGAAATCGGGCCGAGACGTTAACCAGCAGGAAGGCCGTCATCAGGAAAATACAACCTGGGGGGCAGGATGGCAGTGACCTTTCATCCTCAGGCTCACACGTGGCCAGTGGCCAGTGTGAAACGTGAGGGTGCCAGAGGCCAGGGCGGCACGCACACCCTCCCTTGCAGCTGACTGGGCATGGGATCCGGCTTTGCTAGAAGCGGAAGTGAGCCCAGCCCCGGGGGCGGGAGGAGGGGGATTGTAGCAGCAACAACCAGGCCCTCAAACTTGGCATTGAGCGTTTCCTCCATGGTGGACTTGTTTGTGTGTGTGTGTGTGTGTGTGTGTGTGTGTGTGTGTGTGTGTGCTCATTCTTTCCTGTTTTGGAGGGCCACAGCCAGCAGTACTCGGAGCTGACTCCTGACTCTGCACTCAGGGCTCCCTCCTGGTGGGCTCAGGGGACCGTATGTGGTGCTGGGGGGTGACTCCGGGCAAGTGTTCCCCCCCGATAGGTTATTCTTCTGTCCCCGTGACTCATTCCTCCTGCTATGCTGATGACCAGGCTGTGACTTGAAGTGTGTGAACTCTACAAAGTTTTGGTGGGTCCACAAGCCGGTAGCCCAAAGCCTGCCTTGAACCCGCTAGCCCATCTGAAGGAGGCTCCATGGGCCAGAGCAATAGTACAGTGGGTAGGGCATTTGCCTTGCATGCGGCCCACCTGGGTTTGATTCCCAGCATCCCATATGGTCCCCCCCCCCACCAAGCACCACCAGAAGTAGTTCCTGAGTGCAGAGCCAGGAGGAACCCCTGAGCAGAGTTGGGTGTAACCCAAAAAGCAAAAATTGAATAAAATAAAATAAAATAAAATAAAATAAAGGAGGCTCGGCGGGGAGGGCAGCCAATTAGAGTTCTTGCTTCTCTCTGGCTTGTTCACTCGGGGGAGAGATGACAGTGGTCACTAAGCAGAGCTTAGACTTTGTGCCCACCCCGCCAGGGCTGGCACAGATCCAAGTTCCCACAGGGCCCGAGTCACTTGGATCCTCAGGGACCCGACAGTCTCTGCAGGTGACCCCAGGGCCGTGACACCAGTTCTTTACAGACAGAAACACCCGATTGGCAGGCGCCATCGCAGCCCTTGGGAAAACCCCCCAGAAGCGCAGGGCCGAGTTCCCACGGGTGCAGGGGCCGGGCGGGGAGAACGGGCATTACCTCCTACCACACTTTCTTTTTTCGGTTCCTCCATTGTTCCAGGCTCCGCTTGGGCTTCCTAAAACCATAAAAACCATTTTTTTCCAAACGTTTTATGGCTGTGCGGAGAACAGAAATCTTTCGGGAGCTGCTGTTCCCACTTCCTGTCCCTGCCTACCCCGGCCTGCCCAGCCAGCAGGCGGCTGTCCCCAGGGGCATCGGGGAAAACAGGCCTGGCCAGGGCTGGGCCTCCAGTCTAGGCCTGGAGGACAGAAAAGCCACCAGAGACCGAAAATGGGACTCAAGTTCTGTCGGCAACGTTCATCCCCAGAGAAGAGAGATGAAAGTAAGTCCTCGCTGGCAGAAGGAGACAGCGTGACACGGACACCCGTCTGGGCTGGGGGGCCGGTGGGGGAGGGCCGAGCATCAGCAGGGCTGCAGCCTCCTCCTGAATCTCGGACGGGCAAGCAGACTCTGAGACGGTGTTCTACTGGGCTGCTCGCCGACCCACACCGTGCCCCCCGCTATCCAAAGCTGAAACTCACTGCATGTGATTTCCTAAGTGGGGGGTCAGGCGTGCCGCTACCATTGATTCCTGTGCAAAATGGTTCATCTGACTTTTCCTAAGAGGCCACAAAGAGGCCGTGGAACCACTGAAGGGCGCTGCCAGGGTCATTCCTGAAGATGCTCGGGGCCACCTGGGCTCCTTCTGACACACCCTGGGGAGCCGGGGAGGGAGGGGCTGGGAATTGAGCTCCGGGCTTCAACCCACACTGGGCACCTGCTCTGTGAGTTGGGTCAGAGCCCCAGCCTGTTAGCATTCTCAGACCCCAAAGAACCTCTCACATCAGCCTTGATAGGAGCGCCCCACTTTGGGATAGCAAGGGAAGTCTGCATCTAGGCAGTGTCCCGGGAAAAGCAAAAGGTATACCACAACTTTATAGGAATCACTATTGTCACTGTCACTGTCACTGTCCTCCCGTTGTTCATCGATTTGCTCGAGTGGGCCCAGTAACGTCTCCATTGTGACACTTGTTACTGTGTTTGGCATATCGAATACGTCATGGGGAGCTTGCCATGCTGCGCGGGCAAGATACTCTCAGTAGCTTGCCAAACTCTCCAAGAGGGGCGGAGGAGTCGAACCTGGCTCAATCAGGCTGACCGCGCGCAAGGCAGATGCCCTACCACTGTGCTATCGCTTCAGCCCAGGAATAACTATTAATAAATAAATAAATAAATAATAAATAAATAAATAAATATTCAACGCTCTCAGGAAGATTCCATAAACAATAAGTCTAAGACAACATTCCTTCATCATCGCCCTGTGGATAGCGCATCAAAAAAGATTTTGGTCAAACGTTACAAAGGCCAGTGAAAAAGTCTCAGGTTTTCTGAACCCCACCTCACCCCCCTCTGTGAGGTCTCAACCAGCCTCAACCTCCCCGCCTCTGCCTATCTTTGCTGTCCCAGCATCCCCAGAGCAGCCCGGGGGGGGCGGGGTCTCGCCTCCCGCGGGTGACCACTGCACCACACAGCACCCTGAGGAACCTGCCTGGCCCAGCACAGCCAACTCCCACCACCAACCTCGCCGAGGTATCTCGAAGGTCCATTTTCAGGGCCTGGAAACAGACTATCTAGAAAAATCTAGAAACATCCAGCGCTGGTGGGGGCAGGCAGTAGAAGAAGCTGCCACATACTGCTAACGGGAATGCAAATGAGACTGCGTGGGAAAGCGGGGTGGAGATGTCTCACCCTCCCGGGTGACCCAGCACTCTGCTACTGTGGGTCTACTCTGATGGCAGCGACAACCAGCCTCACAGAGAGTCACAACCTGGATCCAGAAACAACCCACGTGCCAGGCAGCTGGGTGGGTAGAAGCGTTGTGGGGGCATCACGCACCTCAAAGGAAAGATGAATGGATGGCACAGGGGGTCACTGAAGGGAAATAAGTCTGAAGGAGAAAGACAGCTAGAGAGTGACCTCACGGTGGGCGAGGAAATGAGGAAACTCAGAGACATGGTGAGGGAGGGGACGGCGTGTGCTGAAAACAAGGGATGAATGCTGACCACACCACAGAGGAAGGGGTTGGTGGTGGCAGGGTCGGGTACTTCGGTGGTGGGCCTAGTGCGATGACGTGGACCCCGGAAACAAACATTGACACTCTGTGACGCTTGCAAAACAGAACCCACAAGGAGCCAAACTAAGTCAGCCGCCCTCCGTATAAAATTGACGGAGGTTGGTCAGGTGGGAAAATGGCCCCCACACCTTTCCCTGCCTGGCCGGCATGGTTCTTCCTGCCTGAGTATTTCCATCACTGAGTAAATGTTTCTCTCCTCTAACTTGAGCGTCTTTTTAAGACAAAGAGGGCCGCCTCTCACGGATGGGATGACTCGTCCTTGGAAACACTTGTCCAGCCACACTGAAGAACTCATTCCCTGTAGGCCTTTGATGCGCACATGGGCCAATGAATGAACGAACAATTGAATGAGCCAAGGGGAGCAAGAATAACCTGTTTGCTATCAGCCAGTTCTGGCTCTGATTGCATGAAATGACCTTGAACAAGTCAAGGGTACTTCGACATATGGACACAGTTCCACGGGCCTGCCGGCTACTCTGTGCTGGGCACACAGGAGACCCTCTCCGCCCCACTCCCACCCAACACTACTGGGTGTGACCCCAAAGCTTTATCAAAAAATGACTAAGGTGGGGCAAGAGTGATGACACAGTGGGTAGGGCATTTGCCTTGCATGTGGCCAACCCAGGTTCGATTCCCAGCATCCCATATTGTCCCCTGAGCACCACCAGGAGTAATTCCTGAGTTCAGAGCTAAGAGGAACCCCTGTGCATCGCCGGGTGTGACCCAAAAAGACTAAAGAAACATCCGATGAACCCCCTAGTATTGTTGAAAGGCTTTCTTGAAGGGGAATTGGGGGTGAGGGGTGCAGTGTTTGGGCCACGGCTGCTCAGGGTTACTCCTGGCTCTGTGCTCAGGGGTCACTGCGGCCAATGCTGGGAACCCAATGGGGCGGCAGCAACCAAGTGCTCCGGCTCTCGCTCTCTCTCCAGGCCCAGCGTCTGGGCAAGGTGCGAGGGGCTCCCGCAGCTGAGACTCAGCCAGAAGCTGGGACCTTTCCTGGCCTGTGCCCGTGTGTCCTCACCTGAGGTGATGTGGCTGCCGCCTCGCTCTCGGAGGAGACCGGGAGGGCACGGCCGTCGTTGGACGCTGGACTGCAGCCTGTGAGAAAGGAAGCCGGCGCGTCAGGGGGGTGGGGAGGAAGAGGGGGAGGGGACGCACAAAGGGTCATGGCAAAGGCCCCTGGGGGACTGTCACTGTCACTGTCCTCCCATTGTTCATCGGTTTGCCCGAGCGGACCCAGTAATGTCTCCATCGTGAGACTTGTTGTTACTGTGTTTGGCATATGGAATACACCACGGGGCCAAATGACTTTTTTTTTTTTTTAACGATACTTTGGGTCTCGTGGCTGCTCCCATTCGTGGTTCTGATGCTCCACTTCTGCCCCTCCAGGGGCGCTGAGCCCTAGAAGGTCCTGTGGTTGGTGGCTGGATTCAGAAGAGAGTTTCTCTAGGGGCTGGGGAAAGTACAGCAGACACCAACCCGGTTCGATTCCCAGCACTCCCTAGGAGTGGCCCTGGAGGGCCCCAGGACTTCTGAGCACCTCTTGGGACCCTGCACCAGACCACCACAACCCAGAATCAGGATTTTCCTTAAAAGGCCAGAGGGAAAGGGAGGGGGCAAGAATGTTCCCACCAAGTGGCAGCTGGCTGCCACCTTCCTCTGACACAGGCTTCCCGGCATCGATGTTCCTTCCACGCCCCGGGCCCTCTCCAGTCCCTTTCGGAGGGGACTTTGTGTTCTTTTAGGAAACGGAATGAGTGGAATTAGGGAGACTCAGGGAAGGACGGACGTGCCTTTGGGATGTTAGTGGCTTTTTGTTACCTTGACACACGGGTGTGTATGAATGATGAAGTCAAGGTGGGTACCAGAGCACGAGCCCCTCCCAATCAGCCTCTGCCCCACGGGAAACGCCCCTCAAGAAGGAACCGCTTCCGGTCCTGCTGGTCCTTCCTGCCCGGCCGGCTCCCGGGGTCTCCTTCACCAGCCCCAGAAGGACACAGGTGAATGCAAGGGCCAGAAGGTCAGCACAGCGGCCAGCAGCCAGGGGCAGGTTCTGCTCTTATTTTGTGATTTTTGCTATTGTTGTGGGGCCACACCTGGTGGTCCTTGGGTGAGGAGGTCAGAGGTACCCGGGATGGAAGCCGGTACGGGGAGGCCTGAGCTGCCCCCTGACTTCTTTTTTGTTTTTTTCTCTCTCTTTTAAAGAAAATGGTCATTAAAGGAGGCATTTTATTTATTTATTATTTTTAGTTCACACATTTTATAAGAACATAAGAATAAACTGGCGTGGGGCTAGCGTGCTAGCACAGTGGTAGGGAGCTTGCTTTGCACACAGCCAACCTGGGTTCAGTCCCTGGAGTCCTGTATAGTCCCCACGAAGTGGTCCCTGAGAAATTTCTGAGCACAGAGCCAGGAGCGAGCCCTGACACTGTCTGGTATGCCCACCCCCACCCCCAACAACAATCCGAAAAGAATAAACTGGTAACCATGTTCATATCTCTCTTGAAGAGAAACAACTTTTCCCTACAGACATTTTCTTTTAGTTGTATATGCCAAACACAGTAACAAGAAGTCTCACAATATTACTGGGCCCGCTCAAGCAAACTGATGAGCAATGGGAGGACAGTATTACAGTGCTTTAAAATTTAGGACCCATTATTGAAAAATCATATGGTTCATAAAACAGAGTACATGTCTATGGTGAAAATTCTCTTCCCATTCAGGCACCCTACAGACAATGTTGATCATTTTTGTTTCCCCTACTAGAGACATTTTATGTTCACTTAAAAACTTCCCTATCTGGGGCTGGAGTGATAGAACAGCAGGTAGGGCATTTGCCTTACACGTGGCCAACCCAGGTTCGATTCCCAGCTTCCCATACGGTCCCCCGGGCACGGCCAGGAGTAATTCCTGAGTTCAGAGTCAGGAGGAACCTCTGTGCATCACCAGGTATAACCCCAAAAAGCAAAAAAAAAAAAACCCTTCCCTATCCTTCCAGTTTTCATAAAATGTGCACCTTTTCTCTCTTAATAAATAGCTCCTTGAGGACAGAGAAATAGTACAGGGGTTAAGTTGTATGCAGCCTTGTACAGAGGCAAATGGGCTTCAATCTCTGGTTCCCCATGTGGCCCCCAAGTCCTGCCAAAAGTGATCCCTCTAATGGGGAGCCAGGAGTCAGCCCTGAGCACCACCAGATGTGACTCTAAAACAAAACCAAAAAAAAAAAAAACAATTCTCCGATATGATTACAAGAGAAAAGTTCCCTAAGATATGTTCCATATTTCATTTTATGCCAATAAAACTACTGATTATTAACTCTTCTACGAAGAGTGAACTGGCATCAATATTTTTGTATCACAGAGAATGCTGCAGTAAAGAGACTTGACAGCATGCAATTATAAATATGCAGATCCAGAATAAATTCACAGAAGCCGAGCTGCTGGGTCTCAAGCTAGAAATGTTTAATATTAGGGCTGCCAGGGACACATTTTCCTCCACATAATTACAACCATTTAAGTAGGGCAAAAGAGACAGTCCAGGAGATAAAGAGCTAGTCCAGGGCATGGGCTGACCTGGGTTCTATCACCGGGACCCTATGTGGTCTCCCTTGAGCACTGCCCAGAGTGATCCCTGAGTGCAGAGCCAGGAGGAACCCCCGAGCACCAGAAGGAATAGCCCCCAAAACCAAATAACTAAATTTCCCCCAGACACGCATGGAAATGTTGCCCTCCTGGCCGCTGTCGAGGGAGGGGTGGCGAGCCGGTTTTGCGTCTTTGTCTGGGGCTCGTGAGAAAGGGCTCTGGACGTGATTTCCATCCGGGCAGCGTGAGGCGTTTGCTTCAGTGATGGGCTCCGTTTCCACAGCTCGGCACATCTGCCTTAGTGCCTGGATCTCAATTCTCAACAACCAGGTTTTTGTTATTGTTGTTTGTGTTTGTTTGTTTTTGCTTTTTGGGTCACATCCAGCGATGCTCAGGGGTTTCTCCTGGCTCTGCACTCAGGAATTACCCCTGGTGGAGCTCAGCGGACCATATGGGATGCTGGGGATCGAACCCGGGTCGATCGCATGCCAGGCAAATGCCGCTGTGCTATGGCTCCAGCCCCTCCCGACGCCCAGTATGAGAACTCAGGTGCATTTCCCTGGCATGGCTTTGGGGTGGGTGCGCAGGGAGGCTCTGAGCCCCTGGTTCTCGGGTCACCGTGCTCTCCCGGCCCTCCTGCTTCAGGGGTTCCCGACTTACCGGGTCTGTGTTCCCCTTGTCAGGAAGAAGATCAGAACCTGGACAGCTGCTTTTTTGAGTTTGGTTGGTTTGAGTTTGGGGCCACACCCAGTGGTGCTCAGGGATCACTCCTGGCCTGGCTTGGGGGACCCTATGCCAGGGATCTAACCCAGATGGGCTTCAGGCAAACGCCTTGACCCCTGTACTATCTCTCCAGCTCAAAATCCATCTTTGGAAAAAAAAAACCCAAAACGAACAAACAGGAAATGTCATTCGGTGGCACCAGAGGCTGCTCCCCACCCGCTGTGGCTCCGTACCCCCCTACCCACCAGAGGGCAGTGTCCCCCACCTGGGAACAGGCGCTGATGGATTCTGAGACTTTACAAGGCAGGAGACTCTTCCCGACCACCAGCTGAGAACCAGCCACACTCCCACTCACTTTTTTTGTTGTTGTCACCAGAGAATACATGCATCCATCAATATTAGCATTAATATTAATACAATATAGCTTCAGGGGGGATGCTAACATTCTCATCTGTGAGGCTGGATGGAGACCCAGAGAATACATGCATCCATCGATATTAACTGCACTGTCCTCCCGTTGTTCATCAATTTGCTTGAGTGGGCACCAGCAACATCTCACAACAAATTGTGAGACTTGTTGTTACTGTTTTTTGGCATATCAAATACGTCACGGGGAGCTTGCCAGGCTTTGCCGTGTGGGCAAGATACTCTCAGTAGCTTGCCGGGCTCTCCGAGAGGGGCAGAGGAATCGAACCCGGGTCAGCCAGGTCAGCTGTGTGCAAGGCAAATGCCTTACCTGCTGTGCTATCATTCCAGCCCATCAATATTAACATTAATATTAATACAATAAAGCTTCAGGGGGGATGCTAACATTCTCACCTGGGAGGCTGGACGGAGACCCTCAGCGCTTGGATACCTTGTTCCCCAACGCCGTCTCCCACTGAGCGACCCAGCCAGTTAAACCCGCGTCTGGGGTGGTTTCAGATGGAAACTGAGCCAGCCCGGCAGCTTACCTCTGATCTCTGTCTCAGCCGCCGCTGATCTCGAAGTCTGTTTCTCACCGCCGAGTGATTTACGATCAAGGTCACCAGATGCCATATTCAAAGTTTCTGATCCTGAGCCTAGCAACAGGAAGAAACTCGCTGCTGCCTGAATACTTTGCAAAAGGAGGATTTGCCTACGTGCCTTTGATTGGCGCACGTACACACACACACACACACACACACACACACACACACACACACACAGAGTCCTGGCAGCACGCTGAGGGGTACTCACCAGTGGCAGGGACAACGCCCTCTATGGAGGAAGATGGTGCAGGCACCGTGGAGGGCTCCCTGCAGAGAGAGTACAAGAGTCTTGGGCCCCAAGAATTCTCCTAAAAGCCAACCCAACACAAGGACAAACTGCACCCAAGAGGCAAACCTGGATGGCAGGGCGCTCTCAGAAGCCGCGGGCTCCCCGCCATTCTCCTTAAGGAAGAGAGAAAAAGAGAGCGAGAAACAAGATCAACAATTTGACATTTTCTATCCCAGAGAGGGTTTGTTTGAAGCGAGTATTTTCAAACGCATGTAAATGGACTGGTGTTGACTTTGCTCTCTGGGAGCCAAGATGGAAATGAGGAGAGAGAGGGGCTAGGTCGCCGTCTATACAGCCCTGGCAAGTGGGCATGACCCCGCAAATCCAGTGTTAAGTATCCTTCCAGCCTGATATTTAAAGAAAACCTGATAAAAATTCTAAACCTAAAGGGCAGGGAGAGTTTATTCCATACATGCAGTCAAGTTCTCTTGAGCTGGCCCCCATTTTGCATGGGCTTGACCCAACCTTTCTATTTCTGGAAATGTGACTCAGCCTGAAACTGTTGACCCAGTGATATTTAAATGGCCCTCGATTGTCTAGCTCGACATGGCATATATCATGCTAATCCTGCTCTCTCGGAGATTTGGGAGATTACCTCGAAGGCAGCGGCAAGAACTTGGGGTTCAAACGAGCTGAACAAGACCCTGCCCCTAACCTGTCCTCACACGTCCCCACACGTGAACTTTGTGACTGTCACGGGCTCCTTGGCTGTCGGACAGACCAGTTCCTTTCTTCAGGTTCCCAAAAAAAATACTTTTTGAATTTTGGGAAAATATTAAAAAAAATAGTTTTTGAATTTGGGGAAAGGTCATAGGTACTTTTTAATTTAGTCTATTTGGGTAGGGGGGTTGGTCCCACCTGAAGGTGGTCAGGGTTTACTCCTAGAGGTGCTCAGAGATCACTCCTGGTGGTGCTCAGGGGACCATAGGGGATGAAAACAGGGTGTGTCCCATGGCAGGGCTGGCCACTCTGAGCAAGGCGCCTTTTTAATGATTGGTCTTTCTCTCCTGCCCAGCGTGGAGTCGGGTTCGCACACGCAGGACCTGTGTTCAGGCATCACAGTTGCCCTTCCTACCCCTAATGTCCTTCTAGGTTGATTTTTACTTTTACTTAAGAAAATGAATTAAAAGGTAATTGTTATAAAGTAACAAAATAGGAGACTAACACCCAAGAGTGGCCAGATTAGTACCAGGAGGTTTGCTCCATGGGTTGGAGGCCGGCCACACATGCTAGGGGAAAAGGGAGCTCAGGTAGAGAAAGGAGCACCAAATAAAGGGTGTTGGGAGGATCCTCCCAGGATGGGAGAAGCGTGCTGAAAGTAGACTATAGACCAAACATGATTGCCACTCAATGCCTCTTTTGCAAACCACAACACCCAAAAGGAGAGAGAGAACAGAGGGGAATGCCCTGCTACATAGGCAGGGTGGGATGGGGGAATGGGGGGTGGGAGGGATACTGGAACCCGTGGTGGTGGAAAATGGGCACTGGTGGAGGGATGGGTATTTTATCATTGTATAATTGAAACCCAAGCACAAAAATTTGTAAGTCTACAACTGTAACTCATGGTGTTTCACTAATAACAATTAAATAAAAATAAATAAAAAGGTAATTGTTAAAACAGAAATCCTGTGCATATATATTTTTAAAAAAACCTACACATGCAGATCATGCATAAAAATGAAGATATTTGAGAATTTCAAAAGCCACAGAACTTGTGACTTGCCCCCAACCCAGCCTGGTTGGTTCCTCCCTAGGGAGACGCTCAGGTCATGCATCAGGTTCAGAATTCGCAGAGGCTGTCCAGGGCACCCCTGACCCAGGCTCCCCGGCAGGGGCCGAGCCACAGCCTTCAAGCCAGGCTCTTGGACGGGCAGGAAACTTCAACAGAGCCGTTGTCAGGCTGTTAGAAAACCCCCAAACATGCAGCCGCAGACACTGCCCTCCACCATACGCTCTCTCTCTCGCGCTCTCTCTCTCTCTCTCTCTCTCTCTCTCTCTCGATCTCCCCAGCCCCCTCAGCCTTCCTGCCCGGCCCAGACCACAGGTGCCCCAGCGTTTCTCCCATTGGCTCCTCTGTCTACAACCCTCACCGCCGCCTCAGCACTCAAGGGCAGACGTGAGCCTGCACACGCCCAGAATCACAGCCCTTGTCCCCAGGTGCTCAGAGGCGGGATCAAACTCATGACGGCCAGCAGCAAAGGCGCGCCAGTGCAGGACACTGGGGTCCTCTTTGAAGCGGGTTCAGAAGAGAAATGCATTTTCTACTGGAGGGGAGGGGCGGCGGGAGTTGGGCCATACCCGGCGATGTGCAGGGCTCACTCCTGGCTCTGTACTCGGGAATTCCTCCTGGCAGTGCTCAGGGAACCACATGGGATCAACGCCAGGTCAGCCACAGGCAAGACTGTATGCAGTTCTGCAGCTTCTGTTCTAACAGGTATCTGAGGCTGATCCCACATTTAAGATAGTTCGCTAGAGCATGTTCGGAATCACTACACATTTTATTTCATTTATCCATCTAGCCCTTATGAGAGAAAGCTATGAAAATAGGTAATAAGTAAGTTTCATTATCTTCATGACAAATGAAGCATTTAGGGGGCTGGAGCATTATAGTACAGTGGGCAGGCATTTGCCTTGCACGCAGCTGACCTGGGTTTGATGCCCAGCATCCCATATAGTCCCCTGAGCACCGCCAGGAGTAACCCCTGAGCACCGCCACCGGGTGTGACCCAAAAAGCCAAAAAAAAAAAATAAGCATTCATTCCTTAATTAATGGGCTGGAGCGATAGCACAGTGGTAGGGCGTTTGCCTTGCAAGCGGCCAATATGGCCAACCCGAGTTCAATTCCTCCACCCCTCTCGGAGATCCTGGCAAGCTACCGAGAGTATCTCGCCCGCACGGCAGAGCCTGGCAAGCTCCCCGTGACGTATTCGCTATGCCAAACACAGTAACAACAAGTCTCACAATTTGTTGTGAGACATTACTGGTGCCCGCTTGAGCAAATCGATGAACAATGGGAGGACAATATCAGTATCAGTATCCTTAATTAATAATAAAATATCAGGACGAGAGAGAGAGAGACAGAGACAGAGAGAGAGAGGATAAGGCGTGTACTTTGCATGCAGCTAACCCAACCTGGATACCTGGATTCCCGACCCCGTGTAGGGTCCCCCAAGCATTGCTGAGCCCCTGAGCATCACCAGGTCCAGCATGGCTGGAGGACTCTGATGACCCCCCAGCACCATAGGGCCAGACAGTTCCACACTCCTGGGCTTTGCATTGAACAGAGTCTCTACCTGGGCAAGGCCACGACCCTCCTGAGCACCTGGGGGTGGGGTGGGGCGGGGGGGGACCCAGCAGTGTACTCAACTCAGAAATGAGGCCCCATTCCACACACTCCACACTCGCTGCTCTGTGTGGCTGGAAACAACGGCTCTCACTGGGCCGGAACGAGCACGCCGTCTCCGTGCGGCCAACACGTGGGGTTGTGTGTCCAGACGCAGGGATGAGGGTGTCGGCCTTGCTCCCTGCGCCATGAAACTGGGGTCCCGATGGGAGCAGGAAGTACCTGGTTTCTCTAGACTTGGCTTCTCCGGGGAGCGTGGAGGCCAGGGGCAGCCAAGAACACCTTCACGGGAGGTGTGAACAGTGCCAGCTTGCGACAGCCCCGGGTTCGGGTGGGAAATGGGAAGATCCCCTTTATTATAAAGAGGAAATAACAAGGAGAGATGTGAAGGCCCTTCCTCTGTAGCAGAGGCTAGGGGGACCTTTTGGGGGGCTCTCTGTGGCCCTTCTCTGCTCTAGGACCTCCTGGGTGAATCTTCCAGAAAGGGCCCCCAACATGCAGGCAGGACATGCCAGCAGTGGTTTATGCCCACCATCGGGGGCCAGCGAGGAGGCCGGCCATCAGGATCACTCCTCAAACTCTACCCATCAAGCCGGGTGATGAGAGAACAAGGCCAGGCACCGTGCCCACAGCCCTGCAGGTTGACAACTCTGGCTCACAGCAGCTGTTCCCTCTTCCGAAGATACACAGGCAAAAGCAGTGCTAGGGGTGTTGTCGTCATTGTTGTTTATGTGACAGCACTGGCCTGTGTTCAGGGATCACTAAAGGGCGAAGGTCTGGACACCATACATGGTACTGGGGATCAAACTGGGGCCGGCCACGTGCAAGGCAAGTGCCCAACCAGCCGGACCATCTCTAGTCCAGAAGTTTCTGTCTTGTTAAGTTGGGGAGGTCACAGTGAATGACAGGTGGAGATGCAGCCTGCCAGGCTGTCTGTGCCCGTGCTGCGGTTGGAGATGAGGGTGTCCCTATGTGCCATGCGGGGAGATGAGGGTGTCTCTATGTGCCGTGGGGGGTGAGGTGAGGGTGTCTCTACATGCATGGGTGGGAGGTGAGGGTGTCTTTATGTTTCTGGGTGGGAGGTGAGGGCCTCTCCATGTACTGTGGAGGGAGGTGAGGGTGTCTCTGTACTGTGGGTGGGAGGTGAGGATGTCTCCACATGCCGTAGGGAGGAGGTGGCTGGGCCAAGACTGACCACTTCTCTGCCAGTTGGGAAGTCGCCCTGTTCTAACCAGAGCTCGGTCCCAGGCCCCGAGCACAGACAGCAGAGAGACCAGAGGTGGGCAGCACCGAGACCGTCCACTAGAAGCACTTTCCATGAAGGGAAGCCAAGAAACTGCAGGGGTGGGTGGTGTACCTGGGTCAGGGGACCAGCAGAAAAGAACGAGGAGCAAGAAAGAGCCCAGCCAGGGCCAACTTACTTGGATGCAGCTGCGGTGGAGGAACACGCTTCATGCCCGAGTGGCCGAGAGGGGGGGTGTCTGTCCCGTCGCTCCCCACATGACCCCCTGCATGGTTCCCTGGGGCGGGGGGCCGGCCCGCTCCCTTCAGGCAGGAGCGGCCGAGGGCTGGGTGGGGCGGAACAGAGCCGGGCTCGGGAGGGCGGGGCAGAGGCTGGGCACCCTGGCACCCGTGCAGCGCGAGTTCAGCTGACAGATAACAACGGAGGGAACAAAGGAGGGAGCAATAACTCACAACCCGAGGAAGGGCACGCATCGGGCATGATTAACTCTCGGCCGTGTTTGCTCTTTCCTTGATTCATTCTCTCTC